TCCTGCTGATATCCAGTCATCCAGCTCTGCTGCCGCTACACAGACTCACCTCTTCTTGCGGGTTCCTGCTGTTCCAGCCATCTATACCTTGCTGCAAGCCCTCTCCCTTTGCTGCCATCATCAAGAAAACAACAAACCTGCTGTTTTTCTGCTCTTCCAGTTTCCTGCTGCCTCTTCCAATCCACTTTATTGACCACCACCATCTTTGGATCTAACCCTAGGGTGAATTTTTGTTGTCGTTTCTTGCAATGACAGATTTCTGTTTGTTATGCTGTAATTTTTTATTGGAACTTGGTAATAATATTTGTTTTTCATTGTAGCTTAGTTTAACTCCGATATTATGCACATCTAGTTTCTTAGTATGTTGGGATTTCTCCATTTTCGTTACCATTTTTTAGAATTGATTGCCTTGGATTCTATTTGGTTGACGCCAAAGTTGTTTAACCTTGATTCCTACACAAAATGCAGCTTCATATTCAATATTCATTTACTATGAGCGATTTTATTATTTCATTTGTGATGGGTGTTTGCTTGCATCTTTTTTTCCATGATTTTCATGATCCTATTTAAGATATGCCGTTATGTCCAATCAGTCTGTAAAGGAGATAAATTTGAGTGAGCCCAGAGGTTGTTCGTGTTCGGCTCATTCAATTTTTTTTGTTTGTGTTCGAAATGGCTCGAAATGAATACATTCGTGTTCGGTTCGAATTTGGCTCGAATTAAATTCAAACTGCCCCCTCACTAGCAACTAAAGAAAAATATAAATTTAATTAATTAAATTGTTATTATTAAATTTCTTAAATTAATAACATTTATAAAAGCATAAAGAAGTTTTATATAGAAATTCATGGCTTTGAAACTCCATCCTAATTCTTGCTTTTATAAAGACATAAAGAACTTCTTAAGTCTAAAATCCCGATGTTGGACTAAAGGTGGCAATATTTAAGGACAACTTACCTGCATACCAATAAAATTCTATGTATTTGCATATCCAATTAGCAGGGGACGGCGTAAGTTGTAACAGTGGGCCGCTGTAGGATTTTTAGGGATATTTACATGCGTACCTCCAAAATCCTATTTATTTACATATCTAACACCTAAACTTGTATTTTTATAACTACACCACCCAAAAATTTTATTAAAAAATAAAATTTAGAATTTTTTAATACAACAACAACAACAACAACAACAACAAAGCCTTAATCCCACTACGTGGGGTCGGCTACATGAATCCTTTTTCTCCATTGCGTCCTATTTAGTGTCATATTTTCAAAAATTAATTTAAAAAATTCTAAATTTTTTAAAAATTAATTTAAAATTTTTTTAAAAAAATTAGTGTCCTATTTAGTGTCATATTTTCAAGAATTTTTTAATACATATAAAAAATTAATTTAAAAAGATGTAAATAAATAATATTATTTAATTAATTTAAGCCAAAATGAACCGACACAAACAAATAAATATTTATTTGTGTTCGACTCATTTATAAATAGAGCTAAAAAATTGTGTGTATTTGGCTCGCTTGCTTAACAAATGAATTGAACACGAGTTTTTCGCAAATGATGAGCTTTTTTGATAGCCCTAATAATGCGGGAGTTACCCAAGAGATTGGTTACGATCTCACTTACTATATTGCTACAGTGATGCTGGCGTAAAAAGCCACGGGAGCCAATCCCACGATTTCTCTCGTCTGGACTGAACTGGTCTAGACTTGAGGGCTAAACGACTTTCTCAAGTTGGTTTGATGTCTCCTTTTCATAGGGGGGTCCAATTCCAGGTATCTTGGGCTTATTTTTGTGATTCCTTTGTTTTAGGTTTTGTGGCTTTCCGCGTGTTTTGTTTAGGACAGCCGTTAGCATCCGTTCTTCCTTTGAGGGCTGTACCCTAGGGATTGAATGGTGCTCTGGTTGTATCTCTCTCCTGATGTAGTGATCATCTTTCATATCCTCTTCTGCATCTTCCTCACAATGCTTTCGACTATCCTCCATCGCTGCAGCCACCCCAAATAACACTCTTTTTGCTATTTTTCACTATAGTTTTCCTATTACAACCCTTCCCTTCTTGCTTACTACTACCGCCCCAGACAGTGGTCCCTTGTTGTCATGCAGTCCCCCGCTTTTCCTCTTCTCTATCGTCATCCAGAAAACAATAAACCTATTATTTTCCCGCTGTCCACTAGCTATTCTAGCATTTTTCACCTCGCCTCACCGCTCCGCTTGCCACCCACTTGCTACCCTCTGTTCCAGCCCTCCGCTTCACTGCCAACGCAATTCCAGCCCCTTCTCGCTTGCTGTCCCAACTCTTTGCTTTTTCGGTGTCCGTTCTTCTCCCTTTGGGGGTTGTATCTAAGGAATTAGGTGGTGCTCCGGCTGTATCTCTTTCTCGAGGTGGTGCTTATCTTCACTATCCTCTTCCTCATCTTCCCCACGATGCTCCGACCATCCTACATTGCTGCCACCGCCCTGAACAACACTTGTTTGTTGTTTTACACTGTAGTCTTGCTATGCCAGCCCTTCGTGCTTGCTGCCACCGTCCTGCAATCTCTCGCTTCGTCCCTTCACCGTCGTCATCTGGAAAACAACAAATCTATTGCTTTTCTGCTGTCTCGTATCTTTCAGCTTTTCCCGCCACACCTTGCTCCTATGCATGACATTCACTTGTTGCCCTCGCTGTCCTAGTCATTTGCTTCGCTGTCAACTTGCTTTGCTGTCCCAACCACTCCCAACCCATTTCAACCACTTAACACCCTCCCCAATCACCCAGATGGCCTCCACCACCCATGGATTGAGCCCTAGTGTAAGTTTGTGTCGAGTTTGTTGTAATTTCCCTTTCAAGTGTATTTAATTGTAATAGTCCTTTTGCTTTTAGTGATGGTAATTTGCCTTTTCTATTGTGGTTGGGTTTAACTCCAGTATCACCTAATGTCAACTGAGGTTTTCTTTTGATTAATACACTCTTCGCTGTTCTACTGACCTGTATCTTACAACCCCTTTTTATTTCTTCCTTGTGAATTTGTCTTATTTTTTCTTGCTATTATTTATGGAAAATTTGGATCATGCATTAATTCTTTGTTCGAGCCCATTTATCTACAGCTTTTGTAATGCTACTACTATCGTAGCCATTAATTTCTGGAGTATAGACTGATTGGTTAAAACGTTTAAGTTTCTAAAGTGTGCTGCGTAACAAGATGATATCATAGTATTAATGTTAAATTATTTAAAGATACACTTTGGCTGGCTGTTGTATAAATTTGAGTGTTGTCCTTGAAAAACTTGTTGATAATTAAGTTGAGCATGGAGGAAACAAAAATGTTAATATCTATGTGTATAAATACTAGAAGGACAACTTAAGAAATTGCTATAGAATAGGGACAATTGGAGTGACATCTGTTGAAGACTGTAATTGAAAATAGATTTAGTAGTTTGGATTTCCACATGGAAGTGTAAAAAATGTTTCCATGAGATGGGCGGATAAATTTAGTTTTGAAGGATTAGGAAAATGAGTGGAATTATATATAGAAGTTGTTCAAAATGATTTATGAATGTTAAAATTAAAAGTACAAGTACCTCTTAGCTAGAAAGGATGAGAAATGGTTCATGAAGCTGACTCTATATGCTTAGATAAGGATTTTAACGACGAGATGATTTATGGAGTGCAAACATCAACATGAGACATGCATATGCAGTTATTAAAAATTAGGAAATGAAATATCATTGATATGATATTTTGTTATATAAATTATTAATCTAAAATTTGTAATCAAAACACGTAATGTGAATATTAAAAATCAAAAAGCATTAAACAATGAAATGCAGCATCACATTTATCACATAAATGACTTTTAGGATCGACAAATAAAGCATTGGTTTAATTGCAATTACATTTTACAATCTCACCAAATACATAACTATAAACAATAAGCCATCATTAGCATAAATAGTTAGTCATGGTTTTATTAATATCAACATTTTATTGTTCGCATAAAATTCCAAAAGCCCAAAAAGAAATTTTTTTTTCCCTTAAATCACAGTTCAGAATATGAACACATTGACGTACCACTAACTGACCAACACATTTGGTGTTGCCGCAATCATCATCACTATAGCTCATGTTCTCTGCAATGTCTCCTCATAATCATTGAGAAAATATAAGGTTCATGATGCCTATAAAGCATTACATTTCTCAATCATGTTGGTACATGCAGTAGCCACATATCCAACATCTGTCATGTTCTGCTCTAACTTGAAAAAAATATTTTAAGACAATTTTTAACATATCTAACATCTGTCATGTTGTGGCTTGACTTTGGTACAAAAGGCCTTTTATATTGGTGCTTCATAGACGATGATGTTGATATTACTTTTCTACCCCCTTTATGGTTTGTGCTTAAACCCTTAATCTTAGATTTGCCCATGCTACATTTGTACTCATGTTAACAGTTTTTGCACCCCTTATGGAAACTGTTTAATCCATTTTCAGAATTCAACTTCTTCAGCGAAAGCATTATAATTCAAATTCAGAAGTTATGCAGAGAATACCTGAGCTTGCGAGGCGCCTTGAAGAGCGAATCTTTAGGGATTCTCTTTTACAGGTACTGTTTCAGTTTCTTCAATTAGATTGTTCTCTCTCTACATTAATAGTTAGGTTTGGAGCATTCACATACACAGCACATAATTTTTATGTATTTACATATCTCACACCTACAAACATAACACTCAAATCTTTAATCACATAAAAAATAGCAGTATTGCCATTTTTTAAAAGTGAAATATACTTTTTCATGCATAGGATTAAAACAGAAAAGTGCTACGCATGTAAAAATTATAGTATATGTATGCAATTTGTAATTACATAAGAATTGGGTGGTATGTATGTAAATGCTCCTAATATTTATTTATTTTTGGTGGACTGTAATTCACTTGTATTGGGGCACTAGCAACACTTAACAATAAAAAATTAAGCTCTCATCAGTATACGTTTTTTTGTTGTTTTAACGTAGAATCTTTTATAAATTAATTTCATGTCTTTATTGGGACGTGCTTTAACTGATCAGGGCGAGGACTACATCAAGATGTCATCGACTATGATCGAACAACGGTTACTGGGGATAACAAAGATCTTAAATAACAGCCAACAGTCCCATTATATAGCACCATCAGCTGTGAGTACAATGATTCCAACACCTGGAATGCCCAATTATGGAAACAAAAACTCTGTGGTATCTCAAGGAAACAACATAATGTCTGCCAGTGCTAATGGATCAGTTGGTATTAGTCAAACCGGCTCTTTCAACACAACCACTGGTATAAATGCTACGCTGTTCTTTTCCTTTTGGGCCCTTTGGGATCATTTTTTGGTTTTTTAGATTCTATTTTTTGTTTTGTTAATGTTTGATTTGAAAAACACATGTTTGACAATTCTGATTATGATATGATTGTTTTTTAATAGACTTAAAATATCTGAAATTTTTTTGAATCTTATCAAAAACAAATTAATTTGTTTTTAGAAATAAAGAATTAAAACAGCTAAAAAGTACACTAAATAAACATGTTTTTTAAAATAAAAGAGAAATAAAAACAAAAAAGAATAACAAAAAATAAAATTGATCCCAATTAAGCCCTTAAGGGGCCATTTGAAATCACTTTTTTTTTTTGGTTTATGTTTTGATTTGAACAAAAACAAATTTGACATTTTTTATTGAGATATGATAGTTTTTAAATCACTCAAAACACCTGAATACTATTTTGAGTGTTTTGAGAAACTTATTAATCTGTTTTTAGAAAAAAAAAATTAAAACAAGTAAAACATACATTAAAGAAACATGTTTTTAAAAACAAAAAATAACAAAAAACAAAAACCAAAAACAAAATTGATCATAAACAAGCTCTTAACTTTTTGATGTTTCTCTCCAGTCTCCTACAATTTAGCAACATTATCTTCTTCTTCAGGGACAATTTTAAATGGTTATCAGCAACCAACATCCAATATCGTCCAAAATTCTGGTGGAAGCAATATGTTGTCATCTATGAACATGATGCGCCAATCCAACCAAATGATCCCAACCCCTGGATTAAGTAATCAGCAATCTGTGCCTATAAACTCTGAATCTTCCAGCGGAGTTCGATATTCTACAATGGATACCTCCATGGTTTCACAACAACAAACCAAGCAAAATTTTGGAAATCAGAACAACAACCATATGTTGCATGGTATGAGGTCCAACATACAGCAAAAGCCTTCTCCCTATAGTTTCACCAATGGAATCATGAATGGTTCTACTGTTTCTGAAGGATATCTTTGTCCAAATCCTTACGGGGTTTCTCCAAAGCCTTTGCAGCAGAACTTGGAGAAGCAGCAAAATCATACTTTTGTGCCAAGTGATTGTTTCTTCTACACTCTTCTTCTTTTCTTCGAGATTCTACCGTGCTTTCTTCACTGCTTAATGTTTTTTTTTCCTGTAATTTGTTTTGTTTGCCGTTATTTTTTTTAGGGGCATTTACATACATAGCACAACTTCAATGTATTTACATATCTCACACCTGAACTTTCATCTTGACACTTGCATCACTCAAATCTTTAATATCACGTAAAAAATAGCATTTTACCACTTTTTAAAAGTGAAATACACCTTTTCATGCATTGGTTCAGAGCACCAGAGGCCTATGTATATAAATATGAAAGTATAGGTGTGAGATATGTAAATATGTAATAATTATGTGCTACATATGTAAAGTTCCTTTTTTTAAAGTAAATCTGAAATTATTCTGACTTATTTTATCATACAGCATCAATGTCACAGCAAATGCTGCCTTTGGTAGGTGATGGCTATCCTATGAATGCTTCTGATCTCTCTGGATCTGCAAACATATATGTTGCCGGTTCGACTGCTTTATCATCTTCGAATAGTCAAAACTTGAACCCAGATATGAATTTTAAATCAAAACCAAACCACGGAATGCTCGCTTATCACACAAGTCTTTCATCAATGCAGCAAACTCCTCACCTGAAACCTCAAAAGCTCGACATTTCTCAAAATACGAGTTTCCAAACTGCCCACTCAACTCAAGAACAACTTCTTCAATCTCAACAACAGATACAAACATTTCAGCATCAACAATTTCAACAGTCTAACCCGCCAAATTCACAGTTTGTTCAGCATCAAAGATATCAACATAATCAGCAGCTTCAACTTATGTCAAATACAGATAATTTGAGACAGTCTTCCATCCCTTCAAATTTTGCAGGGCAGCTACTGCCAGAAGTTGGTATTGAATGCAATAATGAATTATTCCTTCCACAAACTAATGAACAATTTCACCTTTCTGAATTGCAAAATCAATACCAGCAGAATTTTTTCTCTGCTAATTTATCCAAAGGTGCTCATAAATTTCAGCCTTTATCTTCCCATGCTTCGCATCAGATTTTACAAGCGGAGGGACAGACCGCTGATTCACAAAATGAGCTTGGTTGTCTTTTGGTGGGATCACAAACTGATGTACCTTCTCAGCAACTTTGGAATCCCCAGCCTGAACAAAAACCACTAATACAAGAGAATATCTCATTTGATCCTCATAAACAGGAGGAATTTCTCCAGAGAATTGCGGGGAAGAATGAATTACAACAACCTGAGATCTCTAAAAGGCTGTCCTTTGAACCTCTTAGGACTAACCGGGAACGAAATTATTTTAACCAGAAGAGGTGGCTGTTACTTATGCTTCATTCTCGTAAGTGTCCATCCCCTAAAGGACACTGCAAGGAAGTGAACTGCGTTACTGTTCAGCAGCTATGGTTGCATATTGAGAGGTGTGAATCAAATAACTGCACGTTCCCTCGCTGTTCTCCATCGAAGAAACTGTTTAATCATTACCGTACGTGTAAATCTGTAGATTGTCCTCTATGCCATCCTGTTCGTGAGTTCGTAATGTCTGTGAGGGCACAAAATCATAGAACATTGGATGCTGGTTTGGCGAACAAGTTGAACGACTTGGATTTGGTGGCAATTAAAGCATGCTCGACTCCGAAGGAAACATCTGATTGTCAGCAATCTTCATCCAAACGAATGAAGGTTGAGCATCCTTCTACTCTCGTATGGAAGACAGAATCATCTCTGGTTTCTGTTCCTCAAACTAGCCAAATTAAACCTCTTTCGGAGACACATTTCAGTAATTATGAACAAGTTGTTGCAGGTTTATCTTGTAAATCTGAAGTTTTTGAGATGAATATAGATAAATCAATGGTGTCTGGACAGTTTCCTATATCTGGTAGTGAACTTGATGATACGCCGAACAAAGTCCTTTCTGCAAAAACTGCTGCTGAACTCCTCAGAAAGAAGCTGAGGTTTATGCCAATAAGGAAATGATTTCAATGGAGAAAGATAATTTTATTTCTAAGATGGAGAGCAATCAGGATGCCAACATACCACCAATTGATCCCACTTCTGTCAGCAAATCTGGCAAACCGAAGATAAAAGGTGTATCTTTGACTGAATTATTCACTCCAGAGCAAATCAGGGAGCACATTACCAGTTTGAGGCAATGGGTTGGCCAGGTTAGATGATAATTATTTCATTATCCTTAGTAATATCTTATTTAAAAATTACATAATAGTCTACATCCCAACTCGTGATCTTTATTCTGGTGGCAGTGAAAACAGCGCTTGAACTAGTGTTTTTTTTATATGTATGCAAGTATGCATGGGTGAAGAGATACTTATAGTTAAGAATATACAAATATTGGTAAGCACAAGTTTATATATATATACATAATAATCTATTATCATTATAATTAATTGTTATTTATTGATGTATTATTTATGCTTTTTGTTCAGTATGTTATATACACTGCTATAATTAATAAATTTAATGACTATATAAAAAATAGAAATAGTGCTATCAATTGTATTTTGTCTTTTATATCATTTATCTTATTTTATATTTTCTTGTAATTATTTATGCTGTATAATAAATTATATTATTAGGCTTCAAGTCATGTTGTTCTATTTCCTGCATTGATATTGTCAAATTTGCTCTTCTTGGTGTATATTGTTTATTGGGTCTTCCGTGTTAGCACGAGGGATCGCGAGGAAAGAATGCCTTTTTTCTTTATTTTAAGATTTTTGTTCAATGTTTAAGCACTTGTCGCTGATATTTTTTTCATGTAATACAAAATATTCTTTCATATATCAGTGATTCCAGAAATTTGCCAATTTTTACTTTTTGGTAATTTTTTTCATTCAATTTCTAAATTATCATCATCATCATTGTCTTTTAACTATGATTTTATATCTTATATTTTCTTTATTGCTGCATATACTGAAATTATTTGTGAGATTCTCATCTGGGTTTGTTATCATTATTTTTTATACTCATCTTCAACACGCTTAGCTGTAATTTGTATTATCGTTAAGGCTAATGATGAAGATGAAGATGTTTTTGATTCATTTCTATATGTCGGATTAATCTATCTTTTGACTTCTCATTTCTTACTTATTGATTCTACTTTCTTTTTTGTTCTACATGTTGCTTATAACCAAAGTAGTTTGTTCTAATTTCTATCTCATTGATTCCAGTAGATATCATCTCTACAGTCTGATCGATCGAGTCCTTTTACACTTTATTCTTTACTGAACTTCATTTGTAATGATCTAATTTATTTATTTTTTTCATGGATTCATGTGATACGGCTAGTCCTGAGCTAGTCCTAATCACCTGAGCAAAATTAACTTCTCACTACTTTTTTTCGTTCTCATAAAGTTCTTCGGTGGATTCTTATTTGCAACGTAAATATTAAAAAAAAAAAATAAAGATTTACATACATACCACTCAATTCTTATGTATTTACATATCTAACACCAAAACTTCAATTTTTACATCTATGCCTCCTTACATATACATGAAAATTGTATCTCACTTTTTAAAGTTAAAATAGTGGTACTTTTGATTTAATATGGGAGATTTGGGTGGTATAAATGAAAAGCAATGTTTAGGTGTTAGATTTGTAAATATATAAGAATAGATGGTATGTATGGATAGCTGAAACTTGCCACAGTTTGCCTTAAATTGAATATTATAGGCCTTTTGATGCGGGAGCTTAGGTACTGCGGACGCGGTACTATAGCAACTGCAACACCACAAACCTTTTTTTTCCTATTTGATTCCTTTTCTTTCTATCAAGTACCTTGCTCACCTCCCTTTCATATCCTAGCCTTTTCCTATTATATTACCTTTCTTATTTCTCTTTTTTTCCAATTCCTATTACTTCCTTTCATAATTACTATCAACTATTATATGTGTTGTTCGAGTGCTTTAGGGTTAGTTTTGATTATTCCCTTTTGAAAGTTATATTCGGTGGCGAGAAGGTGCTTCTGTAACACGTTCAAGGTTGTGATCGTCTCCAAGGGTCTGGGTGGTGCTCGGTTGTAGCTCGATCTCTGCTGAGATATTTGTATTTTAAAAGTTATATTAGAAAACAATTTATTGTTGTTAGAAGTTATGGGGATTAGATTTATTTCCTTGGACTGGATTTATCTTCTTTCCTATTTTAAATTTATTTCTTTGGAATTAATTTATTTCCTTTTCTATTTTAGGCTTTCCCTATATTATGTCGTTTTCTTTATCTCTAAGTAATTATTATGAATTGATTAATTGGAGATAGAGATGTTATATTTTTTTCTTTCATGTTATTTTATTTTTCTTATCTTTCTTATTATAGGCTTCATGTAAGAGTATTTATACCCGCTTTTCATATCAATAAAATAATTTCGCTAAATTCTAAAAGCAACATGTTATCAGAGCCTTGAAACAAACTATAGATTCTCCCGCTGCTGGAAACTTTCTATTCCCTGCAGCCGACAATCTTTGTTGTTCTGCAAGCTCTTTCTCTGTCACCTCTTTTCTATTTTTCTGCCTGAAACTTTCTATTTCTTGCAACCGAAACTCTCCCCCTACAGTTTCTAGCCGTCGGAACTCTCTCCATGCATGTTCCTAATGACCAGAACTCCTCTCCCTGTAGCTGTTGTCATCCGAAATCTCCTCTGCTGCAGTAAATCTTCTTCTCCTATCATCAAAAATCCTCTCTGCCTGCTCGAAAACTTTCATGTAGGCCTTTTTGTTCTTTATGTTTTTTCTTTCACCGTTTGAAAATGAGGGAGTGCATTTCGATCCACATCGGCTAGGTCTGCATTCAGGTTAGAAATTCATGCTGGGAGCTTTACTACCTCAATCACAGCCTCCAACCTGAAAATCTGATGACGAGTGACAAGACAGTTAGCGGTGGCGATGATGTTATTAACACTTTCTTCAGTGAGACAGGTTTTGGAAAGCTTGTCTCATGTTGTTTTTGTGGATCTTGAGCCCACTATTATTGATGAGGTATGGACTGACACCTATCGCCAACTCTTCCGCGCTGAGCAGCTTATCAGTGGCAAGGAAGATGCTGCCTACAACTTTGCTCATGGCCATTATACAATCGGTGAAGCGATAGTTGATCTATGCCTTGATCGAATCAGGAAGCTTTCTGATAACTGCACTGATCTCAAGACTTTCTGGTTTTCAATCTTTTTGGCGAAGGGATTGGTTATGGCCTCGGTTTCCTTCTCCTTGAGAAACTATATGTTGATCATGACAAAAAATTAAAGCTTGGCTTTATTGTTTACCCATCGCCCCCCAGGTATGCATATAAGTTGTTGAGCCTTACAACGATGTACTCTCCACACACTCCCTTATAGAGCACACCGATGTTGCCTTCCTCTTCCTGAGAGTGCCTTCAAACTAGCTATAAAGGAAAACTATGAAGTCAAAGGCAAATTCACTGTAGAGTTTTTACTTGCAGCAGCCATCCTCATGAATTTTTTTATCGCCAACTCTTCCGCGCTGAGCAGCTTATCAGTGGCAAGGAAGATGCTGCCAACAACTTTGCTCATGGCCATTATACAATCGGTGAAGCGATAGTTGATCTATGCCTTGATCGAATCAGGAAGCTTTCTGATAACTGCACTGATCTCAAGACTTTCTGGTTTTCAATCTTTTTGGCGAAGGGATTGGTTATGGCCTCGGTTTCCTTCTCCTTGAGAAACTATATGTTGATCATGACAAAAAATTAAAGCTTGGCTTTATTGTTTACCCATCGCCCCCCAGGTATGCATATAAGTTGTTGAGCCTTACAACGATGTACTCTCCACACACTCCCTTATAGAGCACACCGATGTTGCCTTCCTCTTCCTGAGAGTGCCTTCAAACTAGCTATAAAGGAAAACTATGAAGTCAAAGGCAAATTCACTGTAGAGTTTTTACTTGCAGCAGCCATCCTCATGAATTTTTTCCCGCAGCAGGTCCTCCTCCGGAGTTTTTTTTTTTTTGCAGCAGACCCTCTTTTGGAGCTTTTCCCTGCAGCAGGTCCTCCAAAGTTTTTTCCTGCAGCAGTCCCTTCGAAGCTTTTTTCTGTAGCAAGCCCTCCTCCGTACCTTTTCCTATTACAGGCCCTTTCTCAGGCCATACCCTACAACTTTCCCGCAGTTGTTCTTTTCATTTTCTTCGGGCCATACTCTGCAGTTTTTCCTGTAGGTGTTCTTCCTTTTTTTATCTGCAAACTTCCCTGCAGCATTACGTGTAGAAGTCTTCCGCCTACCTACAGACACGGCAAAAGTTGCAATCAACTAGAAGTCTGTTTTTTCTATAGGTTGTCTACTTTGTTACAAATTTCCCTGCAATATTAACCTGTAGCAGTCTTCTGCATGTCTACAGACACTATAAAAACTGTAGTAAAAACCAACCGCACTCAATTAAAAATATCCTCAAATGCTCTTGGGGTTGATTACCAAGTACGGGATGAAGACTACAAGTTTTACCTCACAAATAATATTCCAATTCTAAATCCAAGTTTAACATGGTTGTCAACCATGTTTCAACTTGAGGGAGAGTGTTAGAAGTTATATTAGGAAATAATTTATTCATGTTAGAAGTTATGAGGATTAGATTTATTTCCTTATATTTGATTTTTTTCTTTTCTATTTTAGATTTGTTTCTTTGGATTGAATTTATTTCCTGTTCTATTTTAGACTTTCCTACTTTATGTTGTTTTTTTTTATCTCTAAGATTGTCTTTCCTATTCTAGGATTCATGTAAAGGTATTTATACCACCATTTCATTTCAATAAAATAATTTTGCTGAACTCTAAAAATCAACATTATCCTTCCATAATACCTCTTCCCTGCTGCCGCCTCTCCTCCTTGCAGCCTTCCTGCTGCCACCCGGCATCTCCAACACCAATTGTGTCACTGCCGACCACCCTGTTCACCTTCCCTGCAACTGGTTCGTCGCATCTAGCAGCTATCTGGCTGCCGCCAACTCCTCCAGCTGTTCCCAAGTCACCGCAACGACCCACCGCTCTCTTCCAACCCACTGCAACTCCTTCCATCCACAAACAACTTCCACCCGCTGTCCAGTCCACTGCAAACACCTTCCACCCGCTGTCCAGTTCTCTGCCATCATCTTTCAGTGGCCGCCCAATCCGCAGCAACGCTTCCTACCCTTCCGGATATGCCGCTCGTCCCTGGAGAGGGCTGTTTTTGTGTCTTGTGATGATTTCCTTTCTTATTTTACAAAGTTGTCGTTCTTATTTACTGGTTCTCTATTTGTTTTGTTTTTTTATTGAGGAGTCGTCGTTGTAACTTTTGAATTTCACGATAAATATGTGATTTGGTCGTGTTTGTGTTAACTTTGATATCATTTTTTTTTTTGTGCGCCTTCATTTATATCACCAAAAGGTAGCATTTGCATATGTGGAATTGATTTTTTTTTTCCTTAAATCTCTATGCCTTGAACATTCCCGCGTTTCCGTTGTATTTATTCATTTTTAATCTCACTTAAAAGATTTGAAATCATTTGAAAATTTCATAGTTTGAATCCTTCATATTATAAAAGATTAGAACTTGATGCGGATCTTTGCTGTGGTCTTTTGTTAAAATACGGTTGGTATGCATCTCTACCATATCTTGCGTAGAACTTTTTGTTCTTTGTATGATTTAACTGACATTTCTCTATCACACTTTAATGATTACTTCTTTATATTCCTCAGAAGCTTAAATATTTTGGTTCTTAAATGACTTATATTTTGGAAGATTTATAAACATGCCACTCAAATCTTTTGTATTTACATATCTAATACCTATTCTTCAATATTTACGTACATACCACCTTCCGTATTCATGTACAGGTGCATTTCACTTTTAAAAGTTAGAATAGTGGTTTTTTTTTTATGTGATATGAAAGATTTAGGTGAGAAATGTGAAAAGCAAATTTAGGTGTTAGACATGTACATACATAAGAATTGGGTGTTATCTATGTAAATGCCCCTTATATATTTAGTTCAACTTTTTTGGTGCAAGTGTGTTGCTTCAGATAATTTAGAGTTGATGCCTTGTCTAAACTATAATGTTTGTTCACAGAGCAAAGCCAAGGCGGAAAAAAATCAAGCCATGGAACGTTCGATGAGTGAAAACTCGTGTCAGTTGTGCGCCGTTGAGAAGCTTACCTTTGAACCTCCTCCTATATACTGCACACCATGTGGAGCTCGTATAAAGCGAAATGCAATGTATTATACTGTGGGGACTGGCGACACCCGTCACTACTTCTGTATTCCGTGCTACAATGAGGCTCGTGGTGACACTATTGAGGCAGAGGGATCTGCATTTTCAAAATCAAGGCTCGAGAAAAAGAAAAATGACGAAGAAACCGAAGAATGGGTAAGTTTGGCTATTGCAATTCCATTTTGCTTGTTATTCCCTATTTTTTTGGTGGAATACGAAGTAATGATATTCCCCCAAAATCTTGTGTATTTAAATATCTAACATCCAAAGTTTGATATTTACACTCACAACACTTCGGTGTAAAAAACATATGCATGGAAAGATTATTTCACTTTTAAGAAGGCAGTGATTGTAATATTTTTGATGTGATATTAATTTTTGAGTAATATGCATGTAAATATAAATATTTAGCTGTCAGAATACATAAGACTTGTGTGGTATGCATGTAAATGCTACTGATAATTGTTGTGGTTTCATTTGCATTACAGTGGGTTCAATGTGACAAGTGTGAAGCCTGGCAACATCAAATTTGTGCTCTTTTTAATGGAAGAAGGAATGATAGCGGACAAGCTGAATATACGTGTCCCAATTGCTACATAGAGGAGATAGAAAAAGGCGAGCGCAAGCCTTTGCCTCAAAGTGCCGTTCTTGGGGCTAAAGATTTGCCGAGGACTCATCTTAGCGATCACATCGAACGCCGTCTCTTTCGAAGTTTGAAGCACGAAAGACAAGAGAGGGCGAGGCACTTTGGAAAAAGTGTTGATGAGGTGAATGTTTTTTTTTTTAACTGCAAGTTTTATGAAATCTAATTGATACATTGTTCGCCCTCACAAATTTTATGTTTGCTGTATCGAAGTATTATAGTAATACGTTCGAGTTTGATCTACTATGATTGTACAGAAACATATGCATTGCTTATGTAAGCTTTCTTTTTGTTATAGGTTTGCATTTGATTGGTATTTAGTCTGCCGATATCCTAGTTATTATTATTTATTATTATGTGGTTAAAATATTGTCACTAAATTCATAAATTTGTGCAAAAAGATTGGTTAATTTTGATAATGTCAACGTTCACCGATTGTATGGTCTCTACTTGTATTTTTTTTCCCTTCACTATTCTTCTTTGTTAATTTTTTTCTCTTTGTGGAAGTGATGCATTTTGCATTGTTTCATCAAATAGTCATATTTGTTTTGAATCCTATTGATTGATGCATATCTTTAAATTTTGAGATGTCATATCTATTTGCTAATATTCAGGTACCTGGAGCGGAATCGCTTGTCGTGAGGGTCGTGTCATCAGTTGACAAGAAGTTGGATGTGAAACAGCGGTTTTTGGAAATTTTTCAGGAGGAAAACTACCCATCAGAGTTCCCTTATAAATCCAAGGTACATAAAATGTTGGAAAATTTACATACGTAGCATGCATTTCTTATTTATTTACAATTTTCACATTTAAATTTCCATATTTACGTGCGTAGCATATTGTTGGTTTAAACGTAGGCATGAAAATGTGTATTTTGCTTTTAAAAGTGGTAATAATGCCATTTGTTGAGTGCTATTTATTTAAATATGAAAGTTTAGGTGTGAAGTAAATGCATAAGAATTGTGTGCTATGTATGTAAATGCCCCTAAAATGTTCTCTTATCATTTATTTCTAAGAGGAACTGTTAGCCCTGGGCAGACGTATGCAATTCATTTCCTGACACAGTGAAAAGAACAAGGAACATTTACATGTATACCACTCAATTCTTATGTATTTACATATCTAACACCCAAACATTAATTTTTACATATATGTTACCTTCCCTATGCATAAAAAAGGTGTATTTTACTTCTTAGAAGTTAAAATAGAGGCATTTCTAACTTGATACAAGAGATTGGGGTGGTATAAATATAAAAACCAAAGTTTAGGTCTTAGATATGTAATTACATAAGAATTGGGAGGTATGTATGTAAATTTCTCAAAGAATAATGGCGTAAAATGTTCGCCTGATTGGCATAAATACTCTTTTTGCAGGTAGTATTGCTGTTTCAGAAGATAGAAGGTGTAGAAGTATGCCTTTTTGGCATGTATGTCCAGGAATTTGGTTCAGAATGTCAATTCCCTAACCAACGGCGTGTGTACCTGTCTTATTTGGACTCGGTAAAATACTTCAGACCTGAAATAAGAACGGTAACTGGCGAAGCCCTGAGGACTTTTGTGTATCATGAAATTCTGGTACAATTTTCAACTTTTCATTTTTGGCATGCTTAGTTTTACCTTTAACTTTGCCCTTCTATAGAAAGATACCATTCAATTTTACTGTATTTTCATATCTGAACCTATACTTCAATTTTTACATATGTACCACCTTACCTTATGAATGACAAGGGGCATTTTTGATGTGATATGAAATATTGGGTGGTATAAATGTAGAAGTAAAGATGTAAATATATAGGAATTGGATGGTTTGTACGTAAATTCCTCCTATATTTTTTGTTTTGTTAACATCTGTTTTATTTTTTTCATGGGGTCTTTTCTTGGAATTTCATTTCTTCACTTTTATTCTGATTTTTTGCCGCTTTATTTGCAGATAGGTTATCTTGATTACTGTAAAAAACGTGGTTTCACAAGTTGCTATATATGGGCATGCCCTCCTCTTAAAGGTGAAGATTATATCCTATATTGCCATCCTGAGATTCAGAAGACTCCAAAATCTGACAAATTAAGAGAATGGTAAGTGAAGGTTTATTCTTAGTTTTTTATCGCATGCTCTTATGTTTCGGAAATTTACATACATACCAAGTAAAGTGTTGAAATAGTCCCAGACTGTTTACATGGGTCATTTTAGTTTGGCATATTAGATTTTGAACTCTTTAAATTGGGGCTGAAATGGCTCTCGTGGGGACTATTTCAGCTATATTAAAAGAATCTAGTTACTAAATTAACACTTTTATAGAATTGACACCTTTCTCCCACACAATTCTTATGTATTTACATGTCTAACACCCAAAGTTTGATATTTTCACTTATAACACCTTCATTTCATTATAGTATGCATTGAAAGTTGTATTTCATTTTTAAAAAAGTAGTGATTGTGGTTTTTTAATGCGATGTTAAGGAATTAAGTGTTATGCTTGTATATATGAATGTTCAGTTGTTAGATACGTAAAAAATAAGAATTATGTGGCATTTATATGTAGAATTTCTCAAAAGAATTTTATTTCTTCATACTTTTATGCATTACATCTTACTACATATATATAATGAGGAGAAGAAATAAAATAGGAATTCCTCCAAAATAGGAAGAGAAATAAAATAGGAATTCCTCAGTAATAAGAAAAAATAAAAATAAGAAATATCTAATAAAGAAAACACAATTAGTGAAATATATTCTGAAGAAAGGAAATGAATTCATTCATAATGTAGATTGGAACTTTCTGATGCTCCCCTCTCAAGCTGGGTTGTATATATTATACAAACCAAACTTGAATTTGAATTCATCATGATTGACCCTTGTAGTGTTTTAGTGAGAATATTAATAGTATGAAGTTGTGTAGGACATAACTAAGTTGGACAATTCCATGGGTAATATTTTCTGAGATGAAATGTCGGTCAATCTCAATGTGTTTTGTTACGTGATGATGCACATTATTTTTTTGTTATGCTAATAGTTGTTTGGCTATTACTAAACATTTTAATTGTGTTTTTCATATAAACGTTAAGCTCCCTTAATAGTATTTAAAACCACATTCTCTTACATGTTCCTCTTGCAAGAGCACGATATTTAGATTATGCACTACTCCAAGAGACAAAGTTTGCTTTTTTTTTATTTCTCCCCCTGACGAGATTTCCCCGAATGTATGAACAACATCCGGTGATTGATTTCATATCAGTTACCTTTCTTGGCCAAGTAGCATCTGTGTAAATCTCAATCTTGTGTTGTCAGATCTTTTGAAGAGCAAACCATATCTAGGGTCATCTTTTAGTATCCTATTATTTGTTCACTGCTTTCAAATGACACTCGTATGGATTATTCATGCGTTAACTTACTCCACTGATTAAGTTTGTTATATCAGGTCTTGTGTGTGATAGGTAAAGTAGCTTGCCCACAAGTCATTGATATCTTCTTTTATCAACAAAACTACATTCTTCACTTTTGTTCAGCTTTTTATTAGAATCCATAGGTGTGTCAGCATGTTTACATTCAAGCATGTCGGTTTCACTTAACAAATGCAAGATATACTTCATTTGGGATATGACAATTCCCTTCTTAAACCAAGCTACCTCCATTCCCAGAAAATATTGGAGATTCCTTAGGTCCTTGATCCCAAATTGTGTTGCAAACATCCTTTTTAGGCTGCTTTGAATCATCACATATTAAGATAATATCATCTACATGTACTATGAGAATATTAATTTTGCTTCTTGTATTGAATTTAACAAACAGTGTATGCTCAACCTGACACTGATGGTATCCATTTGTATTCACAATCCTAGCAAACCTATCAAACCAAGTATGAGGAGATTCCTTCAAGTCATATAAAGACTTCTTCAACTTACAAACCAACCTGTTCTTCAACTTATTTTTGAAACCTGGAGGTATGGTCATGTAAACTTCTTCATCAAGGTCTTCATTCAAGAATACATTTTTTATATCCATTTGGTGTAAAGTTCAATCTTGGATTACTATAAGAAAAAATCATCACATATTAAGATAATATCATCTGCATATACTATGAGAATATTAATTTTGCTTCTAGTATTGAATTTAAATAAACAGTGTATGCTCAACCTGACACTGATGGTATCCGTTTGTATTCAAAATCCTAACAAACCTATCAAACCAAGCATGAGGAGATTGCTTCAAGTCATATAAAGACTTCTTCAACTTACAAACCAACATGTTCTTCGACTTATTTTTGAAACCTGGAGGTATGGTCATGTAAGCTTCTTCATCAAGGTCTTCATTCAAGAATACATTTTTTATATCCATTTGGTGTAAAGTTCAATCTTGGATTACTATAAGGAAAAATAGAGCCCAAATAGTATTGAGCTTGGTGACGGACTCTAGGTTTCCAGATAGCCAATCCCATATCACTGTGTGAAGCCTATAGCTACCAATATGGCTTTGAATCTCGCTACACTTTCATCTCATTTGTATTTAACCATGAATATCCATTTGCAACCTGCAATTTTTTTTCCATGGACAACTCTATAAGTGTTTTATTATTTTCTAGAGCCTGAATTTCTTTCTCAATTGCTTGTTTTTGCGTCGGAACCCTTATTGGTAACAACTTTCCATAAGCTACATATCTTCTGATTGTATGATCGGGGCACCTTCAATCAGGAGGTAAGGAATCCATACAATTATGATTATCAGTTGTAAGATTTGGTTCAGGGTCTTGATAGTTTCTGATTTCCATGGTGTCCTCTACATCCTCAGTGGTCATTTTCTTTCTGGTATATACACGAAGTTCTGATCACTAGTGCTAAGCTGAGGCTGAGTAGAGACAATTGAGGCAGTTTCAGTGACATAGTTGGGTTCTCAAGTGGAGTTGATTGAGTGGTAAAATTTGATCTAGCTGTTTGAGTGACATGGTTTGATTCAATTTGAGTGTTTTGGAGAAGATTCCAATTTTGATATTCCTTCGAGTTCTCCTGAATTTTAAATTTGGGAAAATAAGATTGATTCTTAAAGAAGGTTACATCCATGAAGTTATATATTTTCCTAGTAATTGGAGAGTAGCATATGTGTCCTTTTTGGTTGGAGTAATCGATGAAGATACATTTGAGGGTGATCAAGTTTGATGCGGCGTTGTTGGTGAATGTGAACAAAGGCGGAACCAAAGACTTTCAATGGTAAGTCGAAAGAAATAAATTTGTTATGAAGGATAGAATTCTATGAGAGCATTACGAGTAATTTCAAGCTTTAGGACATGACTGCACATTCTATTGATAAGATATGTGATTGAGTATGACTTCTCAAAAAAATGTTTAGCACATGATTAAGTCTCATAATGGCACATGTCACTTAAAGTAAATGTCTGTTCTTTCTCTCAGCAATCTCATTTTGTTGAGTATTCACACAAAAAATTATATGGATGATACCACGTTTGGAAAGATAATGGTCAAGAATGAAATTTAAAAATTTCTCAGCATTATCAATTTTAAGAATTTGAATTTTGCTTTGGAATTGAGTAGGGATCATAGAATGAAAAGATTGAAGTATGGTGGTCATTTTATATTTTTCTTTCATAAGAAATGTCGAAGTAGTTATAGTATAATCATCTATGAATGATAAAACCCATCACGTCATCGCGTCCTCTTTATTTTTTTACTTGGGAGGGTTCCCATATATCAGTGTGAATTGCAATAGAAGGATGTGAGGGCTTGTACTGTAGTTTAGAATATACATATCTGGTATGTTTGATACATTTCAAATTGATAGAAATTAGAATTTTTATTAATAAAGAAATGTGAATATTTTTTCAATATAAGCAAAATTTGGATAGCTGAGGTGACAATGTTTTAACATGACTTAACTTTCAACTAAAATAAACTTGGAATTATTTATCAAAATTTGAACTTGACTCAGAAGTACGACTTGATGAATGAACTTGTCTATCAATGAGATTTTTTTTTTAGCGGTTTTAAACCACTATGCATCTTAGCGTTGTTAATAACCTTCATCAAATCCAGTACTTGAAAATAAAAAAAAAATTGAATAAAATTTAATCATAAATTTTAAGTCGCGAGTAAGTTTGTTAATTAAGAATAAATTGCAGTCTAATTTTGGAACATAAGGAACATAGGAAAGGTGATGATCCTTTGTCAATTCGACTGATCTAGTTCCTACTTTTTTTTTTAGAAAGTAGCTCCTACTATTAGAGAGAATGAACTGTCCTTTGTTCGAATTGCAGAGTGACTGGTGCATGAGCTATAATTTTTGGAGACATTGATATCTCCTGTCATGCCATATAAGGTTTAAGAGGCAACTATCCAAGATTTTAGTTTATTGCTTTTAACAATAAGTGCACGATGTAAGATACCTTAATATGTCAATGGACTAGTTGGTTGCTCAATAGAGGATTGTGATTCTTGTCCAGAATTGTAACCACGAACTAATATTTTATACAGCGTCTCAGTTTGCTCTTTAGTAAGTAGACTAACTTCTATATTGTTGTTGGTTGTGACAACAATAATTGCACGATTCTCCCTATCACATCTTCCATTGGATGACTTTGAATCTGTAGGTTTTCCGTGTAATTTCTAACAGATTGTGTGATGTGATGTAAAAATATTAGTTAACGAATGGTAGGAAGGGGTTTAATTCTCATTATTCTGCCCATGACTTCATTTTGATAATTAGAACTTTCTTGAGGCTGAGAAGAAACTTGATGGTCCTCTTTTGTTCAGTAATTTTCTTAGAAAAGACAAAGTTATGAGGGCATTTCCAGGAATAAACCTCATACAAATCGAGTTGCAGCCAATGGCGTGTGAGAGTGTTGAAATATTGAGTAACGCTCAGTTCCCCTTGTCATAGATTATGTAGTTTGGTTTCAATCTCAAATAACTTTTAGAAGTTTGCGGTGCTAGAGTAGGTCTCACATGCAGCCTCTCATATCTCCTTTGTTGTCTCATAGAGCATGAAGTTTCTTTAATCCACGTGGTCATGGAATTTATTAACCATGACATAACCAAGTGGTCGTCAATTTCTCAAGCCTGATATTTAGAATCTTTGATTTATGGAGCTAAAATTTCACCTATAAGAAGTCCATCTTTCCCTCTACTGAATACATACATGAAGATGAAATGTGACTATTGGAGAAAATTTTAGCCATGCAGTTTACGGTAAGAGACTTAGTGAGATGAGTTATCAGATATTATAGGTACTTAAGATGTTAGCTCGAATCTAGAGGTGACTTCCTAGGATGAAGATTATGAGGCCATGCCTTATTTAATCATGATAAGAATGTGAAGCCTGAATCGAGAAAACCTACTCCTTGAAGTCCGCAAGAGGAGTTCCCTTCATTCGACATGTGAGATGGAGGTTAGATCAAATCGAATTATTCACTGCTTTAACAAACTGAAGAAGCAAGTCCTCTATTTTAATAGACCCCTCTCAGTTCCAAGAAGAAAAAAGGGAGAATAAATCGCGTGCTCGTGCGTATGAGAGGAGATGCATAGGACGTTTAGCACTTCTTCAAACTCAAAGTTTTTAGAGCATGAAGAAGACGAAGGAGACGAAGTCCTTGAATGTGAATGACAGATTTCTTGTCACTTTCATTCATTACACCTTGCTACATATATATGAAGAGGAAAATAAACAAAATAGAAAATACTCCGAAATTTAAAAAAGAGAAAAACAGAAACATGAAATATCTAATAAAGGTAACATGATCAGTGACGTGTATTATGAAGAAAGAAAATAAATTACTTCCTGATGCAGATTAACACTTTCCAGTAGCATATAAGTAACCCCTTATGTTTTTCTATGCTTGTGTTGATTTGCTTACCGGTTCACCTAACCGACATAATCTACACTTTTGCAGGTATTTATCAATGCTTCGTAAAGCCTCTAAGGAAAACATTGCTGTTGGTCTCACTAACTTATTCGATCATTTCTTCGTAACTATTGGTGAATGTAAGTCGAAAGTCACTGCAGCACGGTTGCCATATTTCGATGGTGACTATTGGCCGGGTGCCGCAGAAGATATAATAACTCAACTGCAGCAAGAAGAAGATGGTAGAAAGCAACAAAAGAAAGGGAAAACAAAAATTACGATTACAAAAAGGGCCTTAAAAGCTGCTGGCCATACTGATCTTGGTTGTAATGCATCTAAAGATGCACTTTTGATGCAGAAGGTATTATTCGAAGGAGAACTGGTTTTTTCTGTTTTTTTAATGGCTTGTTTGGGTTCAATTTCATTTTTTTGTCGCTGTTTTTATTTTATTTTTAAATTTTTAAAAATATATTTATTTAGTATATTTTTTAGATGTTTTTATTTATTTATTTTATAAACAAATTTACATGTTCTTGAAAACATTCAAAACAGTTCTTTGGTATTCTGAGTATTTTTAACGCAATCATACTTTAATCAAATAATCAAATATGTTTTGTTTCAAATGAAAACATAAATAAAATAAAATAAAAATAAATAGTAGAAAATAAAATATAAAAGTGATCTTGAAAAGGAGAGGAATGCCAAAATGGTCCTCTGACTCTTTGCAGGGCGCCATTTTAATCTCAAAGTTCATAGTAGTGTTAGTTTAGTTCCCAATCTTTTAATTTGAGTTGAAATAGTCCCCAAGAAAGACTATTTTAGCTCTCATTAAAAGAATCCAGGGGCTAATTTAACACTTTTATATAAACTCTAGGACTAAATTGGCCCAACATAAATGGTTATGGGACTGTTTTGACACTTCATTTTTTTTTCAAAATAATTTTTTCCATTGGAGGTGCTTAAGCTTTTTTGCTTTTTGAAGATATTGTGCAATGGTATGTTTTTCTCTAATGCTACATCTTAATGTTCAGCTTGGCGAAACCATCTCTCCCATGAAAGAAGATTTTATTATGGTCCATCTGCAGCATGCTTGCACACACTGCTGTGTTCTAATGGTGTCCGGAAATCGTTGGGTTTGTAATCAGTGCAAGAATTTCCAGATTTGTGATAAGTAAGCTTTCTTTTTGGGGTATTTACGTTCATACCACTCAATTCCTATGTGTTTACATATCTAACACCCAAAATTTTGTTTGTTACATTTATACCACTCAAGTCTTTTTATATCTAATAAAAAAATAGTACCATTTTAACTTTTAAGAAGTGAAATACACATTTTCATGCATAGGGAAAGTGGTAAGTATATAAAAAAAAAATTGAAGTTTGGGTTTTAGTTATGTAAATACATAGGAATTGAGTGGTATGTATGTAAATCTTCCAAAATTTCTTTCTTTTTTCAGCTTATATCTTTGTCATATTTATTCTGATTTCTTGCAAAGATCTGTTTTAGCCCTGGGAGCTAAATTTTCGCTTATTTGTTTTCCTTTAAATTTTTGGTTTGGCTACTTCGAAAACCTTTTGGGGTTATTAACTATTCTTTGGATTCACTAAATTTACTCTGTTGAGTATAGCTCATCTCTTCATAAAGCTTCGCCGAGTTTGCCGAACACCCTTTTTTCGAATCTCCTTATGCAATTTTATAATTAAAATTTATTTTTTTGAAATGATTGGAGTATTTTTTTTAAAATGATCTTTTTACATGAATGAACAACTTGATGAACATATTCTCTATAAGTCCCCATCATTTTACATATTATAATGCCATATCTTCCAGGTGCTATGAGGCAGAACAAAAACTTGATGACAGGGATAGGCATCCTATCAACAGCAGGGAGACCCATAATCTCTACCCCGTAAGTTACCCCTCTCGAACCACACCCATTTTTAACTCAATCAACTATTTAACTTTATTCATCCGTATAAAATGATTTGAGCAGATTGAAATTACCGATGTTGTCGCTGATACGAAAGATAAAGACGAGATTGTTGAGAGCGAGTTTTTTGATACAAGACAGGCCTTTTTGAGTCTTTGCCAAGGAAACCATTACCAGTACGATACGTTAAGAAGGGCCAAGCATTCTTCGATGATGGTGCTGTATCACCTTCATAATCCGACCGCGCCTGCATTTGTGACGACTTGCAATGTGTGTTACCATGACATTGAAACCGGCCAGGGATGGCGGTGCGAGGTTTGCCCAGATTTTGATGTATGCAATTCATGTTATCAAAGAGATGGTTCTATTGATCATCCTCATAAGCTAACGAATCATCCTTCCAATGCTGATCGCGACGCGCAAAGTCAAGAAGCTAGACAGAAACGAGTACTGCAGGTACGTTGTTTGCACTTCTAAAGACCTTCATGTTTTAGGGAAATTTACATGCATACTACAAAATTCTTATTTGTTTATGTACCTAAACAGCCAAATTTTAATATTTACACTTATAATACCTTGGTGTCATAAACTTATGAATGAAAATGTGTGTTTCTATTTTGAAAAAGATAGTCGTGGTGGTATTTTTGATGTGATGTTAAAGATTTGAGGGGTATTCATGTAAATATGAATTTTTTAAGAGTTAGATATCTAAATACATAAATAATTGTGTGGTATGTTATCTCCTATGAACTATTCATATAATCATCATCATCCATCTTCTAAGTGGATGTTCCACCATCTATCATAAATGCTCAAACTGACCGAGCCTTTTTTTTTATTTTATTTTACATTATATGATGATGTGTATGTCAGACGGAACCTTAAATTTGTTGATTTCCTGTTATACATTTGTTAGTTTTTTTGGGGCATTTGCATAGCACATAATTCTTATATATTTACATATATCACACCTAAACTTTTATCTTTACACGCATAGCACTAAAATTTTTAATATCACATGAATAATAGTGTTATTATCATTTTTTTAGACCGAAACTCATATTTTCATGCATACGTTTAAAACATCAAAGTGCTGTGTTTGTACATATGAAAGTTTAGCTAGAAGATATGTAAATACATAAGAATTGCGTGCTACCGCTACTCAGGAGTAAATTTCCCTTTTTTTTTTTTTTTTGATATGTATTTATATATCCAACACCTTTACATTCATATTTACAGTCATATCACTCAAATACTCAACATCATTTCAAAAACATCACCATCATTGTCTTTTTAATAGTGAAATACACATTTTCATGCTTTGTTTTCTGTTTAAGTGTAAATATCAAACTTTGGGTGTTAGACATGTAAATACATAAGAATTGTTTGGTATGAATGTAAATTTTCCTACTTTTCCTTGCTTCCTAGAACCATTCATCATATCAATTGTGGAGTAACTTTCTTCTCATGTAACTCGTGACTCACGCAGCTACGGAAAATGCTCGATCTTCTGGTTCATGCTTCTCAATGCCGTTTCCCGCATTGTCAATATCCCAATTGCCGCCGAGTCAAAGGACTTTTTCGCCATGGCATAAACTGTAAAATTCGTGCTTCAGGAGGTTGTGTGCTCTGCAAGAAGATGTGGTATGTGTTGCAACTTCATGCCAGGGCCTGCAAGGAATCAGAATGCCATGTTCCTCGCTGCAAGTAAGCTCACTCATCTCCTAAATATAAAATTTTGTTTGCAGAAATTCATTTTCCTACTTTTTAATGATTTTATATTAGTGAAGTGTCATAATAGTCCTTTGACATTGGTCCCTATAGTGATTACTAGGAATTATTTCAACTCATATTAAGAAAGGCTCGGGACTAAATTAATACTTTTATAAACTCTGGGACTAAAATAGCTTCATTTCAAACAATCAGGGGACCATCATTTTTGGCATTTATAAACTCAATTCTGTATTGATTATGCTTCGCATTTAGGGATTTGAAAGAGCATCTTAAGAGGCTGCAGCAGCAGTCGGAGTCGAGGCGGCGGGCGGCAGTGATGGAAATGATGAGACAGCGAGCAGCGGAGTTGCAGGGAACGGACGAATAACTGTACAGTTTGATATTTTATAGACAAAATACAGAGAGAGAGAGAGAGCGAGGACGAAGCTCTGCTTTCTTCCAGAAGGAAAGAAGTTGATGGAATGGGAAAGATGAGAGCTGCAGCTTTCTCATCTGGGATTTCTGTGGATTCTAACCCATTCTATACCAACCTTGCAAAGCAAAAAGGGAAGAACTTTCGGGTTTAATTGTTCGAATCGCGGAGGGATGAGATTTGCAATTCTTTGATTTATCAGGCATGGCATTGCATTGCATTGCCTCCACTTAATAGGGTAGCATTTGTAATATAAAAAAATTGTTTTTTTTATTTTTTGTAATTTTGTATTTTGGTAGTGAGCCCTGTAATTTCTTTTTGTTGTTCATCTGTCATTTCATGATTTAGGAAGGGAATGAAGGGGGAAGACAGCCTGTAGTTATTTTATGCTGTCCCTTTTTTTTTTGTAGAATGATTTCCCATTAAATGATAAAATAAAATATGCTGTTTTGCTATTTTAGATCATTATAAACTCTTATTCTCTCTTTAGCTTTTATTTTTATTTATGTGAATGATAGTTAATTTTAGGTGCAATTACATCCAGACCACCCAAATTTTTATTATTTACAAATCAACCGCCCTCTTTCATCCATTTTTCAAGTTCTCACTCAAATATCAAAATTTCCCCATACCCATAATTTTCATTTTTATCAAATTCTCAACAGTTTGATTGTGGCTCGCATAAATATATCTGTTCGGCAGTGGTTAATTTGTAAATATTATTATTTAAGGCGATCTGCATGTAATTATCCCTTAATTTTTATCTTAGGAGAAGCTATTTACATGCATGTAACACAATTTTTATGTATTTACATATCTCTAACCTAAATTTTCATATTTACATTGCACATTGGTGTTTTAAACCTATACATGAAAAAATTGTATATTTCACTTTTAAATAGTCATAATAGTGTTTATTTCTTATGTGATATTAAGGATTCTAGTGCTATGTGAGTAAATATGAAAGGTTAGGTGTGTGATGTGTAAATATATAAGAACTGCGTGTTATATATGTAAATGCCCCCCAAGCAAAGAGGAGTTTAGAACAGTGAGGAAAATTATGCAAAGAGATTGATGCAAGACAAATAAGAAGAGCCTCCCACTAGATCAATCACTAAGGATCAAATTCACAACAATTGATTAATTTCATGACAAAAAAATGTTAAAGAAAAATATTTGGAGCCATAGAAGCCAACAAGAAATAAGGGCATAAGATGAGTGACAGGAGTCTGATCTTTTGGGGTTGGCTATGGTCATCTGTTCTTTTACTTTAATTATGGATGCTCTTACAGGGTATTTACATGAGGATGTTACTTGGTATATACTTTTTGTTGTTGATATCCTTCTTGTGCATGAGACTAGAGGGTGTTTGGCTACTAGTAAGATTTAAGTTAAATGGGATTTATTAAATTCGGTAAATCCGGATTTATTAAATCTAAATATTATTAAATTTGAAATAATGTTTGGTTTAGTTAAGGTTAAATCTATTTGATATGTATGAGTTGTTTGGTACGTGATTTACGTAGGATTTAAGCTAAATCGTGTCAAAAGATGAAAAATGTCTCCGTAAATCCTACAGGTTTTTAAATCTCGTTTCTGCTACATTTTTCCTTATATCTGGGATTACCCAAATCCCATAGGAAGCAAGATTTAGAGGATTTATTTACGAGATTTATAGAATTTAAAGTTTGCGGGATAAATTAAGGTACTTAACATAATCTATTTGAGGTGTTTGGCTCAATTAAGATTAAATCCAGTTAAATTCATTTCAGATGTTTAATATAAATCTATTTAAAATATTTTTTTCCTGCACTCAATCCATTAAATCTAAGTAATAAGTTGATTTAGTAAATCCGAATTTAATAAATGGAACAACCAAAATTGGATTGAACTTAACGACGGATTATCTAATTTTTTTTTGTGTTTGACTAGATTTTAGTTAAATCTGGCTTACATTCTATTAAAAAGATCATACCAAACACCCTCATAATTTATGGAGGTCGACATTGGAGTTCAATGGCCTTCATGCAAGTAGATCTTGATTTGAATATATGATATCTAATTTTTTTTTTTTGTTTTTGACTAGATTTTAGTTAAATCTAGCTTACATTCTATTAAAAAGATCATACCAAACACCCTCATAATTTATGGAGGTCGACATTGGAGTTCAATGGCCTTCATGCAAGTAGATCTTGATTTGAATATATGAAATGTAATTTTAGTGGTAGTAGTTTTGATGACAAAGTTGTAACTACGGGTGATTAAACCATTAAAAATGTGTGAACTTTTTAGATATCTCGGGTCTCTCGTTCAAAGTTTAGGTGGTATAGATGGGGATGTGATTAGTAGATTTCAAGTTGGTTGGTTGAAGTGGAGAAATGCATTTGGTCTATTGTGTGATAGAAAATATTGCTTCGACTTAAAGGAAAATTTTATAAGAAGCTGGTGAGACCTGCAATGTTCTATGGAGTTTGTCTTTAGATTAAGTGATTGTTCAGTTGAAAGCGGGAATTAGTTTGAATTGGTTTTAATAAATCCTGCAAATTTGGAATTATCAAATCCAGAGGTATGTGTCAAATCCAAAATAGGATTTAGTTCAAAGAGCAATAATCGTTTCGAAATTGATTCTAAGTTTGACTCACACATGAAACTCGAGTTAAAATGAACATCTCAAAAAATGAGCCAAAATTTTGGATCAAATTTATTTGAAACCTACATATCAAATTTATTTAGAATCTACATCATCTCTGCTCGAATTTGTTTCGTTCAACATATCTTAGTAATGTTATTTATGTTGAAAATCATTAAACTGTCAAATATTGACTCGTAATTGATTAAGGCGTCTCCTTCTAATATGCATTCCACTGTAGCTACACTAGCCCTATATATATATATATATATATATATATATATACACACATATTAATTTGGGTATTAAAATTGCGGATGAGAATGTTGATTAGCATTAAGATGATGATGATATTGATATGATTGGGGAGTTAATTACTGTGTAGTTGTGCTAATACGTTAATGTTGTCTTTGATAATGAATGATTTGACTATCATTTTGGTAGGAATGAATGGTAGATCAATTCAATAATTTCTTGAATTATATAATATAGCGGTTATTTTTTATAAACACTCATTTATTTATATATTATTGTCCGGCTTTATTTTTCTGCATAATCTTTCACTTATATATTATTGTCGGGTTAAATTTAGAGTTCCAAATAACTAATCTAAGCCTCTAATAATCGTTTAAGTGTTTGATTTGAGCTTTATTAGACTCGGATATGATCAAATTTGGTATTATTTGGTTCATCTCGTTGAGGTGGTCAGTTTAACTATAAGTTTGCACAAATTCGAGCTCTGCATGATTTTTGGTCTAACATAAAACTTTTCTGCTAAAACAATATCTCGAGTTTCATGCCAAATACCTCATGTTTATGACAAATGATGATTTACTTGATGACTAATCAACAACACATTTCTTTTAACCAAACATCATTATCATGTAGCTTAATAAGACATTAAATTCATTAAATTTTGAAAAAAAAAAAACTCTAGTTTAATTTATTATGACTTATAATCATAATATTTAGATAATAAAGTGGAACTTTCATTGAAAAGATTTATATTAATCCCCTTCATGATGGGGATGGTTCTAATTTCTTAATTTTAAGGTTTTATAGAATCTTTTTTAATATTTAATATTTCATAGTTTCCATGTTTTGTTGACCTAAAACAATTTTATATAACAAAATTATATGAGATAAATGATCATGAATAATTATTAATCAATTTCTAATAAATTCGAAAATATAATTTGTCAAGAGAATATAGTTTCATGCTTTTGAAGAAAATATCTTTTTCCACTAAAGAGCAACAAAAGCATGATCTTGGGTAGTAGTAATTTGAGAGAGAATAAATATAAAAAATGCTTAGCACTAAGATGCCTAAGACCAAGATGATTTTTTATCTTATTAAAAACACTTATTAATATTAATTATTTGAAGTCAATATATGCCTCTTTTGTTAATGGAAATTAGGCTCAATATTATTTAAAAAGACTAATTTTGTTCAATATAATTAAAATATGAAAAATTCATGCATACCCCAACCAAAGTGTTGCTCAGTCAAATCTTAACACCAAAAGAAATTAAAGCCCGTGTTGAACTCCATCAATAACTCCCACTAGCCATCATGGTTTGGCATTGAAACACCATATATACCTTTAGCAAAAAAATAGATGTGTATTTAAAAAAGTCCTCAGCTACCCTCATGTGTCTATTTATTCGATGACCGTCTACCGGCAAATTGGTTAGAGGGGGATTCGAACCCGTGACCTGAGGGGAATCACAATCTTCAAGGAGGCTGCTCTATAAACAGGTCTGGCGACACTATTTATATATATATATATATATATATATATAAAGGAATTCACATGCATACCGTTAAATTCTTATGAAATTACATATCTAACTCCCAAACTTAAATTTTTATTTACAAGCCACTTTATGTATGCATGAAAATATGTATTTCACTTTTAAAAAGTTTAGATAATAATATTTGCTTGATATGAAAAATATGAATATTATAAATGCAAAAAGGAAGGTTGGGGTATTTTATATATAATGAGAGTGAAAGAGAGATGGAGGGATACAGGCAGGAAAGGCAGAAGATCTGCATCACACCATCTTCTCCCCTCATCTCCTCTTCTCCCTTTCCCTCTCTCTCAATATCTCTCCCATCCTCTAAGTCCATCCCATTATCTTGCTCTCACTCTCTCTGAGTGAGAAACTGATAATGAGAGAGAATGAGAGAAAGAGAATAAGAGAGAATGAGCTCTAATAAAAAATAATAATGAAATAGAAAATTCCACTTTGGTCCATCCAAACCTTTCAAATGGAAGTAATAATAGCTTCTTTATTTGTAATTTATTTATTTTATTTATTGGTAATTAAGTAGTGGAATCAATGGTGGAATCTTTTGAGTGGTTCATGTCTCCATCAATAATCTAAAACTCAATTTTGATTTTGATTCCAATAGTGTTTGTGATCTGGAGTTTAGTATCTATCACTTCTTTATATAGTGGAAAACATTAGAAAAGCATATTCCATGCAAGCAATAGTTTTCATTTATTAAAATTGTGGTTTGATTTGTAATAAATGTATTACTTATTGGTGTTCTTAAGGGTACATTTCTAATATTATTTGCTGATATTTATTAATAAATATAATTAAGTTTTATTCAAACTAAATAAATTAAAATTTAATTAATTTCTTTTTTAGTTTTTGGCCAAACTCTAGACGATGGTAAGAAAACGATGAAAAGAAATAAAAATTAAAAATAGCAATCAATGAAAAGAATCTGTCAATTGAATTATGGAGAAAATGTGGAAATTAATAATTATAAAATTATTAAAAAAATAAAATAATAAACTTAATTATACTTTATTAGCATGCGCATGCAGTGACATCTTCTTTCACCTCACTTCTGTCTCTATTATTTTTAGCTCTTCACCTTTTTATAGTGAATAAAGAGTACGTACTAAACTTAGAAATCGAACCATTAATTAATTTTGGCAGCGTTACATACATCCCCTACAATTATAATTAAAAAAAATGATCGGAGGCTATTACACGAGCCTCCAACCACTCTTAATGTGTCTAACAATTCGAGTACCAGCTCCTTATAGTTCACGTCGCCAGTTGGGATTCAAACCCCCAACTTGAGGGGTCTTATAACGAGGATGCCAACAAACAAGATCGATTTATCAAGCCAAAGAGCTACCGAGTGATGTGCTTATATATGTAAAATACATGAACACAATCTCCATTAAGGCAAGGACAATATATTATATCATATTCCCTGTAAAAAGGGAGAGCAGTTTTTTCTGAACAAAGAAAATGCACCAGTCGTTTCTCTATTCATTATTAGTTTCTCTTATTTCTTACACTATATTCTTTGCGGATGTGATGCACAGATAAATCAAGATTCAACAAGCATGAAGTTATATTATTATTATTATTATTATTATTATTATTATTATTATTATTATTATTATTAAGTTTTGCTACCATGTAAACTTCCCTTTCCTCCCATTAAATTTTTTTTTATAATAATTAAATCAAAAGTGCTGCTGCCCACTTTAAAATGCCGGAAAAGAAGACAAAAGCAAAAAGGAGTTTCCTTGCATTTAATGTTAGTGTAAATTGTCAAATAAAACCTCTTAAAAACTCCAAAATACAAACAATCCTTCTATTAAAAGTGCAAATAACTAAGTTTGAACTGCCTAACTGTCTATCAAGTCAACCGTTATCTTAAACAAATACTTTAAATTATCTTTCCAAACTATAGTAATGTTATCTATGTAAATACATTAGAATTGGCACGTTTGTCTGTAAATGCCCATTATTGTTGTCTAATTGCGGATGTATGAGCTATATTATAAACCCTAAATCATATGAGATAACTTCAAATAAAATAAATAAAAAACAATGCGTGTAAATAACTTTAGTCAATATAATTTAATAATAATAGCTATTTGTGCATACGCATAGGCTTACATACATTTATCCTCTTCAGCTCCACATCAGCATGTTTTGATTATATGAGTTTAAAACATTTTATGATTTTATGGAAGATTTGCATACATACCTCTTATTTCCTTCCTATTTACATGTTCAGCCGCATGTCAATCCAAAATTGACTTTTTTTAAGCAACACGAAAATTAAAATACTAAATGAATCTTATGAGCTTAATGGATCGAGTCAACCAGTTGTACATTCAATGGTCTTACACCAACTCTTTCGATATCGTATTCATTAGCTGTGCCTTTGGAATTGACAAGCTTCGGAGTAAGCACTTTAGCAATTTTATGTGTTTCTCAAAGCAAGTCTATCCAATCTTAATCTTCAAACTAGTTCTTCTGGTAAAAATCCCTACACTACTCGAGTTGTTTGATAACTTGGCTACATTAATGAGCTCAACGAGCAATTTTCCTGATAACTACTTGGCTACATTAATGAGCTCAACGAGCAATTTTCCAAGACAAAATAATGATAAGTGTAGTTTGTCAACGTACATATCAACAAGTATTAACAACATGACAATACACACCAGTTGTATTGTCGAGAATAAGTCTGCTCAGGCTCCGTACTACATAGCCAATAAACTAGTTTTATAGTTTTACACCACTCAAAGCAATAAAATAAAAATAAAAAATAACACTTATCTTAACTTGTTTAGTCACTGCACAAAGTTGTTATAAAATATCAATATTAAATTTTTAGAAAGCCGGACTCCTCGCAGTTGTCAAGATTCTCGCCGTCATTTCTTGTAATTTCGGGGCATTTACACACATAACACCAAATTCTTATGTATTCACACATACATTACCCAACTATGTTATCTCACATCAAAAATATCATCATTTTATTTCAAGATGTCACCTTTAGTGCGAAGGTAAGGCAGCATGTATCTAAAAATTGAACTTTATGTATTAAATAGGATATTTATATGATTATCATCATTATTTTCTCCCTATTGTTCTCATAACATAAAAATATCAATTAAAGAGTACCCTAAACCCTATAAATAGCCGGCGAGGCAGAGCCACCACGAATAAGTAATGGAAGTGCGAGGAGAGAGATCCAAGCCGTCGATTATATGGGCTGCGAGAAGCCTGTTCATGCACGCCGATCACGCCGACTGCTGGCTGATGGGCCTGGGCTTCATCGGCTCCGTCGGGGACGGCCTTACTTTGCCCATTTCGATCGTCGTCTTCTACAAAATGGTAAACGCTCTAGGTGCAGGCCCATCCTCGCCGGACTTCGAACACGGTGTCAACCAGAGTTCCCTCCAATTCGTCTATGTCGCTGCCGGCGGCTTTCTCTTCGCCTTTCTCGGTCAGTTCATATATTTACATATATAAAGATTGAATTTTTAAAAAAAAATTTAATTTTTTTTAGATGAATTTAAGAAGAAATTTTTTTTGAGCAGAGGGGTACTGTTGGACGAGGACGGGGGAGAGGCAGGCGAGGAGGATGCGAGGCAGATATTTGAAGGCTGTGCTGAGGCAAGAAGTGGGATATTTTGACCTGAAGAAGGATGGGTCAACGGCCGAAGTGGTCAACTGTGTCTCTACCGATTCTTTTGTTATCCAGGACGTGCTTAGTGAGAAGGCACGAACACCCTCAAATTATTTTACTTAACAAAACAGGAAAGATTTACATGCATACCCAGTCAATTTTACATATCTAACGGCAACGCTTCCATTTTTATATGCATGTTTATTTTAAAAAATTAAAATTGTGATATTTTTCATGTGATATGAAAATTTTGAATGGTATTAATGTAAAAATAAAAATTTTGGTTCTAGATATGTAAATACATAGGAATTAGGTGGTATCTATGTAATTGCGCCAATATATATATATATAAGAGAATATTTTCTTAGAAATAATAAATTACACTCAACTTACACTAAATATAATTGCTGTAAAATTTATGTTCATTCGATCCGGATTAAAATATTCATGAAATTCAATCCTTTTTTGGCTTTTAATTGGTTCAATGTATTCTAATGATCTAATCAAAACGAGTCTGATAGAACACATGTTTATATTTACATTAAGATAAATATAAATTTATAATAATTAGTCAACCCTTATATTACATTTATCTTAAACATAATTTAATATTTTCTAAATTCAGCTAGATATATTCTATCAAAACTCGATCCGCATAACTTTTAATTGTAGTTTTAAATACTGACAGTGCTTTTGAAGTTTTAAATTTCTTACCTTTTCTTTTTCCTCTTAAAATAAAAAAAGGTACCAAATTTCATAATGAACACCGCTACCTTCGTGAGCAGCTACATCGCCGCCTTCCTCCTGCAATGGCGACTAACCCTAATCGCCTTCCCCACCGTCCTCCTGCTAATCATCCCCGGTTTAATATACGGCCGCGTCCTGCTCACCCTATCCCGCCAAATCCATGTCCAATACAACAAAGCCGGCCTGATCGCCGAGCAAGCAATCTCCTCCGTCCGAACAGTCTACTCATGCGTTACCGAACCCACCACGATATCCTCCTTCTCCTCCGCTCTAAACTCCTCCGTTCGCCTCGGAATCCGACAAGCCCTCGCCAAAGGTCTCGCCTTTGGAAGCAATGGCGTAACTTTCTCCATCTGGGCTCTCATGGCTTGGTACGGCGGCCGTCTCGTTATCCTCCACGATGTAAAAGGTGGATCCATCTTCGCCGCCGGATCTTCCGTTATCAACGGCGGGCTCGCCCTCGGTCTGGGACTGTCGAATGTTAAGTATTTGGGAGAGGGGATTGCGGCGGCAGAGCGTATAAAGGAGGTTATGGATAGGAAGCCAGCGATCGATTCGGAGAGCGATGAAGGGGAGGAGGTGAGGGAAGTGAGAGGTGAGGTGGAGTTTAAAAAAGTGAGATTTTGGTATCCGGCGAGGCCTGAAGTTGAGGTTTTTAGAGGGTTTAGTTTGAGGGTAGAGGCGGGGAGGACGGCGGCTCTGGTGGGGGGTAGCGGGTCGGGGAAGTCGACGGCGGTGGCGCTGCTGCAGAGGTTTTACGATCCGACCGGCGGTGGGATTGTGGTGGATGGAGTGGATATAAGGAGGCTGAAGGTGAAGTGGTTGAGGGGGATAATGGGAATGGTGAGTCAGGAGCCATTGTTGTTTGATATGAGCATTAAGGAGAATGTGTTGTTTGGGAAGGAGGAGGGGAGTTTGGAGGATGTGGTGGAGGCGGCAAAGAAGGCTAATGCGCATGGGTTCATTTACCAGTTGCCTATGGGATATGATACGCAGGTATTTTCATTTTAAATTTATCTCTTCTTCTTTTTTTTTTTTGTGTGTGGAAAATCTTACTTATTTATTTATATTTAAAATATTCATATTTTAATTTAAATAATATTAACTTATTTTGATAAAGTGTTGTAGAAATAATTATAAAGGATCAAATATTAAATAATATTAATCAGAAAATATTTTGGTAATTTACTTTGTAAAGTATTGGTGTAGAAATTGATGATGAGTTTGTTAATACTTATTCCATAAATATGATATTAAAAAAATAAAATTTACTTATCAGATTATTATTTTGATAACGGAAAAATAAAATTTTATTTTATTATTTACCTATTAAATTCCACCGAGTGACACCAGAGCTGGATTCCTCCATTTCAAAATGAGGCGACAATTTACTGTCATGTCATAAATGATAAAAAATATTTTAATAAATTACTATCATACGTATCAATCAAGAATATTTAATCTATTTAATAATTCCGAAAACATAAAGTCAGAAGTCATATGCTTAACCATACTATTTTAGTGTTAAAAAATCTAACTGCTCGGATTTTCTATCTTTTAATGCTTTCAATAATTGTAACGTGACAAAAGCATATATAATTTTTATGTTTTTAATGAAACGATTAGTCACGTCCATGAGTTATCATTATTATTTCCCTAAAGTACATGACTAATATACAAATGACATACCAATCAGGTAGGCGAGAGAGGCGTCCAACTCTCCGGCGGCCAAAAGCAGCGCATAGCGATCGCGCGCGCTCTCATCCGGCAGCCAAAGATCCTTCTTTTGGACGAAGCCACCAGCGCCCTCGATTCCGAGTCGGAGCGCTTAGTACAGGAAGCCCTTGACGTCGCCGCCGTCGGCCGCACCACCATAGTCATCGCCCATCGCCTCTCCACAATACGAAACGCACATTCCATCGCCTTCGTCGATGCTGGCGAAGTCGTGGAAACGGGATCTCATGAAGAACTCATTGCCGACCCCAACAGTCACTATTCTGCTCTCATTCGAGCGCAGCGGTGCCAGCCGGCCGAGGATCACGAATCTTTGGGCAGGTGAATCAATATCTATATTTTTTTTCTTCTTTTGTGATTCTTTTTTTCATGATGGTCAAATCATCCTCATCAGCCTTTGCAATAATTTGCAAAATGATGGAAGCTGAAACAGTGAACAGTACTGGTATATGATATTTAAGTGACTCCATATAACTAGCATAATTACTGACTAATTACAATTAGTTGACAATAAATTTTGTGAAAACTTGAAAGTGAAAAGTTTTTTTTTTTTTTTTTTTTATTTTAACACGTACATGATTATTTATTATTTGGGCTGTTAATTTAGTTCATTGTTAGCAAATAATTCGTGTTCAGCTCATTTATTCAAATAATTTTTTAAGCTCGAAATTTAAACGAGCTGAATAAGAACAAAAGTTTATTTGCTCGTGTTCTCACGCTTGGCTCAAATTAATATTATAAATTATAATTTTTTTAGTTAATCTATGTTTTTTGAAATTTATTTTTGATATTTGTTTGGTGAATTATTAATACAAACTACTTTTTTAGAAAAACAAAATTATTTTAATTTAATTAAAATAATAATAATAATAAATATTTTATATTCTAACAATTTAATTTCGAGCCAAACACAAACACAAATAAATTTTTCTACTCGAACACATAAACATTGTTCACGAGTCATTTCAAACATGAGTCAATTTCGAACGAGCCGAACAAGAGCCGAACTCGGCTCTTTCAAAGCCTTATTTATTATTATATGCTTATTACATCACAAGGGTAATCATGTAGTAATAATTTGCAAATTTATTAAACCTTAAATAATTAACAATACTTATTAAATTTCTGCTATCTAATCACTAGTTAATTGCATGTACTTAGTTACAGTAGCTAATTACGATCTAATTATTCAGCAGCCGCAGCATGAGCCGGCGATTCTCCATTTCAAGCTCAACCAAATCACTCGGCGAAATGGAAGAATTGAATGAGGGGAATGACAAGTCAGGGCGGAGTCCGTCGCGGTCAGTCCCTTCCCTGCGTCGATTGCTGATGATGAACGCGCCGGAATGGGGACACGCTTTGCTCGGCGGCACTGGAGCTATTCTGTTCGGCGCCGTTCAGCCGGCTTATTCATATGCTCTCAGCAGCATGTTGATGGTTTATTTTATTAAGGATCATGAAGAGATGAAGGAGAAGATTAGGACTTATGCACTTATTTTTGTGGGATTGTCTGTATTCTCTTTTGTGGTTAGTGTGGTGCAGCATTATCATTTGGGAGTCATGGGGGAATGCTTGACTAAAAGGGTGAGGGAAAGGATGCTGGCTAAGATTCTTACTTTTGAGGTGGGTTGGTTTGATCAAGAAGATAATTCTTCCGGCGCTATTTGCTCCCGTTTGGCTAAGGACGCTGCAGTGGTGAGTACACTTAAACTTACTTTCGTAGTTCACAAATTAATTATCTCATAGTTAGGGTGTTTGGGGAAAATGTATGGTGCCCCCAACACATTTTTTTCTTGTTTATTTTTTTAAAAGCTGCAGCTAAAAGTTATGTTTGACAACTAATCTAGGTAAGAGTCACTTTTGGGCGATTGCAGCTTATTAAAAAATAATTGTTAAACTGTTGAAAAATAATTTGATGTTCAAAAAACAACGGTGACATTACAGTTTTTTGAAAAAGTCAAACCGTAGTTAAAAATCTACCACTATACATAGTCATGATAGTGTGAAAATGTAAATTTCAATGACAATTTTTTGAATAAACCAACAAAACGTAGTTTATCCAAATCAATAAAACTGCGGCACACTATCACACTGTCAAAACACTGCCGCCCCAAACGAATCCTAGTCTATAACTGCCCTAAATAGACTTTTAGTCTTAATTATAAATTAATTACCGTGTTTAATTAGGTAATTATTGTAGCAAGACAAAATTTATACATTTAGCACTCATACTAACATGAATAATAAATATTACCTAGTAGATATATAAATAAGATCATCAGAGTAAAATTTTAATAGACACACACATACATAAGAAAGAGTTAAGGGGTATATATGTAAATAATTATTGTTATTTAATATGCAAGGTGCGGTCACTGGTAGGAGATCGAATGTCGCTTATAATCCAAGCACTAACAGCAGTAACAGTGGCGTTCGCGATGGGCGTGATAATCGCATGGCGTCTGGCCATCATCATCATCGCCACACAGCCTCTGATAATCACCTGCTTCTACGCCCGCCGGGTCCTGCTCAAGAACATCTCCGGAAAATCCATCAAATCCCAATCCGAGAGCAGCAAACTGGCCGCCGAAGCCGTCAACAATCTCCGCACCATCACCTCCTTCTCCTCCCAACCCCGCATCCTCCGCCTCTTCAATCTCTCCCAATCCAACCCTCGCCGCCACTCCCTCCGCCAATCCTATCTCGCTGGCTTAGGCCTCGCCCTCTCCCAATCCCTCAACATCTGCACATGGGCCCTCGATTTCTGGTACGGCGGCATCCTTGTCCGACAAGGACTCATTTCCTCCAAAGCCCTCCTTCAAACCTTCGTCATCGTCGTCAGCACCGGCCGCGTCATCGCCGATGCCGGAAGCACCACCACCGATCTCGCCAAAGGATCCCATTCCGTCGCTTCCGTCTTCTCCATCCTCGACCGCTTCTCAGCCATCGAGCCCGATGATCCCGATGGCTGCCACCAACCCAATTCGTCCTTAACCGGATCGATCGAATTCCGCGGCGTCGATTTTGCCTACCCCGCGAGGCCCGACGTCCCGATTCTCCACCGCTTTTCTCTTGCCATTCAAGCCGGGAAATCAACCGCCCTCGTCGGGCCCAGCGGCTCCGGCAAATCCACCATCATATCCCTCGTCGAGCGATTCTATGATGCCACAGCCGGACACATATGCGTGGACGGGAGAGATATCCGATCTTACAACCTCCGTGCATTGCGTCGACAGATCGCGTTGGTCGGACAGGAGCCGGCCATGTTCGCCGGCACGATTCGGGAGAACATAACGTACGGGCTAGACGGAGCGGTGGCAAGCGAAGCGGAGGCTGCGGCGAGAGTCGCCAATGCGCACGATTTTATAAGCGGGTTGAAGGATGGGTACGAGACGTGGTGTGGGGAGAGGGGGATTCAGCTGTCGGGAGGGCAGAAGCAGAGAATAGCGATAGCGAGGGCGGTACTGCGGAATCCGAAGATCTTGTTGTTGGATGAGGCGACAAGCGCTCTGGATGGGAAATCGGAGAATGTGGTGGTGGAGGCGTTGGAGAGGGTTATGGTTGGGAGGACGAGCGTGGTGGTGGCGCATCGGTTGGGTACGGTTAGGAACTGTGACTTGATTGCGGTGATGGATAAGGGGAGATTGGTGGAGAAGGGAAGCCATGCGGCGCTTATGGGGAAGGGGGAAACGGGAATGTATTGGGGATTGGTTAGGCTGCAGCATGGGGGGGAGAGCGGGAAGAAGGGATAAGGTTTTAGGACATTGGAGGAGGAGGAGGATGATGCTTTTTGCTCCGTATATAAATTACATGGGGTGATTTTGTTTGTAATATGTATTATATTTATGCGACTTATGATAATGCATTGTTTGGCGGGAGAAGGTTGGTTGTTTTTTTTTATTATTATTGTTGTGAGTAAGAGGCGCATGCTTTGAAAGTCACCGTTTAAAACAATGGCTAAAAATTTTAAATTGTGTTTTTATTTTCTTTTAAATCGAATAAAAAATTTTAGATAATCAAAATCATCTCATCACCCATGACTTTGTCGAGCAAGGAAATGTGTCTCTTGTTAAACATTTCTCTCTTGTTGCATGACATTAATTGCTCTCTCAAAGTCAGATATGTGATATTCGGTATCAAGATAGAGACTCAGATACCCCCGTTGTAATAGAAATTAATCATTGACCAAATAATATTTACCTGATGTGAAAATCGCTCAATGCCAGCCTTTTTTATTTAAAAAGATTGTCAGCTTAACTCCCAGGCCAACCTCTTTAAGGTAAATGTCATAAAATATTATATTTGTATTGTTATCCCACATTTCAGATGAACTGACATCTTTCGTCTTAATCATTTTATTACTAGCATGAAAAAAATTAATCAACATAAATTTTTACTCAAAAAAATATTTATCACAACTCAAAAAAAAATAGGAATGTTATAGTATCATTACTACTGGTCTTCCACACCAACACATCCACACCACCACCTCACACACCAACATCTCCACACATTAACACATTTACAACACCACTACCACCACCTCCACACGCTAACACATCCACAACACCACTACCACCACCTCCACACGCTAACACATCCACAACACCACTACCACCGACTCCACACACCAATACAACAAGACACCAACCCATCCACATCATCATTATTATCACCTCCACACGCCAACACATCCTTAACACCATTACCATTAGCTTCACACACCACCACCTCCAAACACCAGCACGTCCACCAACACAAGCAAAACCATACATCAACCACAACATTCACACACAAATCACCCTACAACACAACCTCCACACACCAACCACCCAACACCAGCACCTCTACATCCACCAACACAAACACAATCACACACGAACCGCCACCTTCACACACAAACCACCCTACACCACAACCTCCACACACCAACCACCCTGCACCAGCACCTCCACGTCCACACACAAACACATCCACCAACACAAATACATCAACACAATAAATCTTTCACACACCAATACATTCACAACACCACCAACACAAATACATCCACACATCAGTACCTCCACACACAACACCACTGCCAACACCTCCACAAAATAAAAAAAAATGCAACACACCAACACATCAACAACATCACATCCATCACCTCCACACACCAACATACAACTCATATATGCGTCAAGTAATAAATATTTCTAAGTTATTGTACATGCAATCAACACCAACATATACATTTGACTCACAACAAGAACATAATAGAGCGAATAGAAAACCATAATCCAATATAAAAAAAAAGCACCCCCTAGTTCCAAGTCATTGCATGTGCAATTAACAACACCACATATTTTCAACAAACATCAAGAACATAAAAGAGCAAACTGAAAACCAAAATCCAACAACAACCTGAAACCATCACCTATTTCCAAGACATTGCATGTGAAATTCCAAAAAAAAAACATAAAATCCAACATCAACTGAAACCATCAAAGTATAAGAACGCAGAGAACCCATAAAATATTTGACCACATAAAAATTTTCAAAATAAAAAACCACAACATTTGTGTTGAGGTAGAGAATACTAAAGCAAAGGCGGAACAAATGATCAAAAAGCACCGCACGAAGAGGAACCACCATATAAAGGAAGAATCAAATGATCCAAACTGAGCAGAAGAGCTGAGAGAGGAGAGGGAGAGGAGAACTCACCGTAACAGTTAAACTAGAGAATTGGGAGAGAAAGAGAGGGTGCCGTATCTGTAAGAATCACGAGAGAGAGAGGGGAGTTGGAGAAAGAATCATGAGAGAAAGGCAACCTCATGAAAATCGTGCGAGAGAGGGATATTAGGGCAAGACACTTGAGAGAGAAAGATGCAGCGGGGTAACACGAGGGTAGCCTCGTTACTACACAATGAAGGAACATGGGTCAGCTGTGTTTCCTTCTGATTAATCTCCACCCTCGACCGCGTTTCCTCCTGAATAATCCCGAGAAGCAGTCACATCACACTTTTTGAACCATAGACCCATCATTCCGAAGCCGTGGCGCGACAAATAGTTTGCCCCAAACGAGCACTCAATGAAAAACTAGTCAAGCCAAGCTTAAGATGAACTCATTAGCATAATGTAGGCGGACTTTATCAGCTAAGTTCTAAGCTTACTTATCAGGATTGTGTTGCCTCAACTCAGTTGCAAACTTAAAGAGAACTTAAGTAGCAATTGCCAAAAGGCTAGAAATTAATTAGTCTTCTACAAAATGAAATTAACAGCTTGCTTCTGATTATAAGGACCATTACAATTTCTTAGATTACGTGCCTCTTATACATTATAGAAAATAATAAGCCATAATGTAAAGTAAATCACAAAATTAATTATTTAATTCATTTCAAATAACTATCAAAGCTTATTTAGTCATTAATTTTCATTTAACATAATTTTTTGTAAGAGGCCTCTAGAGGCTCAGGGAGAGCCGATACCAATAGTCAGCCTATGGTTCGACATATCTCACGATTCTTCTGAGTACGACATACGGAGGGAGGCTAGCAACGACAAGAAGAAAGGCAAGGTCTATAAGTTGGGGTCCCAAGCATCAGCCTATGATGTCTGTCGGACATCTAACATATCCGATGCATCTACTTTTACTGCACAAAAGGAAATGCATCACCAAGTTGTTGCTGAGGTTGATGCTTAGATCTCCACCCACCTAGCTAACCTGAGATCGAAGATGGAGTGGAAGATGAAAGTAGATTTTAAAACGATGCTGCATTCAGAATTGCATGAAGGGAAGCAGTCGGTTTAGCTTGAGGATGAGGAGAAGATAAAGAAGGATAAGAAGGGGATTATTGTTTAGTTTTTTTTTTTTTTTTGTATGTTTAACAATTTATTGGTTCGGGGATTATTGTTTAGTTTTTTTTTTTTGTATGTTTAACAATTTATTGGTTGGTTCCAAACGTGTTTTTATTGAATATTTATTCATTTCATTTGATTTAATATAATTGTTTTTCTTTTATTTTTGTATATGGATTTTGCATCAGATAGTTTTATTATTATAATGTGACGAGTGATAATTGCACTGTTATCATTGTAGAAATGTAAATTTCCTTCTAAATAGCCATCCGGATGTTTCTAATCATTATAATCACATTTTTCCTATTAAGATATATCTCTCTCTATCTCTTTGCTATTATCACAGACACACTTTCTTCTTGTTATTCAAGCTCAGGACTCATGTGTACTATTATTAATTTCTGCCTGCATAATAATTAGAATATTTTATATTTGATTTATGATGATGACATAATGAATGCATGTTAAATTATAAGTTATTTATTAAGCATTTTAATAAAATACAGATTAATGATGAATAGTTCATTAAGTACTAAATCATCGATTAGTATAATCTAAAAAATATATATATTAAATAAAATTAAATTTAGTTATTATATATTTATATTATCAATATGTAATATTTATTTCCGTTTCGTGAGAAGTGTGGTCGGCGGAGAGTCGCGGAAGCATGGCAATGGTTTTTGGTCGAGCTGCTCTCCGTCACGTCCCGCTACGTCCTACTATGAACTATTCATCCATCTTACCTTCATGGATCTTGCGCATCCCTCGCGATGCATCTCCAGGTTCATTTATACCTCAATTTTATTCCGATCTTATTTTGATAACTTTGATTTCCGGCCATGAACGATATTGCTTTTGCAAACCGCTGAATTCAATTAGACACTGTCCGAGCATTGCCAAGGGACTAACGGAGTGCTTCATTTTCAGAGATATCTTAAATTTTCATGACATTACACTATCGCCAAACTATGTAAGAATTGATTCTAGGGTTGTTGAATGAGCTAGTTTACAGTTGTAAATAATAATGAAAACGATTTTGATGGAATATTATGTGAAGGTGTTGATGTTTCCATTATAGATTTGTATTGTTATGTGCGCTGAGATGACGGGGGTGATGATGGCATACGCCGCAATATGTGAATGTATTTTCGGTTTGAACAGAGTCTATAGCAAGTCTTTAGTGGGGTATTTACTCTTTATTCGGAGCCTATTCCTGCACTATTCGTCTCAAGAGGGTAATGGTGGTGTTGGGTGAGTTCCGTCGTATGTTGCGCCACAATCTGAGATTCAGGGGATCTACATGCTTGTTTGGTGCGGCTCTGTCATTCAGGCACTGCAGATTCTTGCCTACTGGCGCCCAATCATCTTCTTGCAAGTCGAGATTCATGGGATCCATGTGCGTGTCTCGCACATCACTTTTCTTTGTGGTTTCATTCTTTCATCGGCACATTTCTAATACAGTGGACGCTTTACTTAACTTTATTAGAACTTTGTATCCGTGCTAGACCAATATTTTTTATTTTTATTTTTATTCTTTTCTTCTGATGGATTGGAAACCCATTGAAATCCAAGATGAATCGAAACATACAAAATTTTAATGGATCTTGAAGGACATTAGAAGTTGGTTAATTTGGATTTTTTTGTGTTTATAAATAGGACTATTGAGGCATATATCAACAACAACAACAAAAAGCCTTTATCCCACTTAGTGGGGTCGGCTTCATGAATCCTTTTTCTCCATTGTATCCTATCGAGTGTCATTTTTTCATTTAATTCCAATAGAATATGATCATTTTTTATGCAATATGCCCAAATCTTTTTAGGTCCACCTTTGCCTTTCTTAACATAAGTTGAGTCTAAAACATTTACTATCCTAACCGTATCATCAGATGGTCGACTTTTAATGTGACTAAAACATCTAAGACGGCTCTCTTTAATCTTGTCTGCAACTGGATCTACACCAATTTTTTCACGGATAGATTCGTTTCACATTTTATCTCCAAGTGTCAAGCTGCTCATCCACCTAAGCATTATCATCTCCGCAACACTTAACTTTGTAACTTTGTTTTATGCTTCCTCTTTTAAGGGCCAACATTCTTCGCAATAAAGCATATATATTAAAAAAACCTAATGTGAGTTAAATTTTGTTTTCTCCCAATTATTTCATGTGTTGTTGGATGTCGATTCTTGGGATTGTCTGCAACTTTTGATGGCAAATTTGAAATTTTGAAGAGATAGTGACATAGGGCTCTAAAAGGCCCCCCTAATGTGTGGTGCTGAACACGCGGGCAGAAACCCTGCGAACTATCATGTAGACAGGAAGCGAGATCGCGAAATTTTGTCATCCGGGAAGATGTATTGCAAGTCTGTCACACTCATCTTCATTTGTGAAGTGTTTTATGGATTCTTCTTGCCTTCTCACCCCCTTTATCTTTTGTGTAGAAGTTTCTTGGGAGTCTATAAATTGCTGTCCTTTGTGCGTGGGAGTCAGTTCTTGTTGTGTTTGCTTTTAAATCTTATGTGTGGAGATCTTTTCTCTGTTTCAATGTTGTATCCGAGGAGGTGGTGGTGCTCCGACTGTATACTACTTTGTAATGGTGTTGTATCCTTTTTTTTTCTTCCCCAATCATTCTCCTCCCCTCATTTAGCTGCGGGCATGTCCCTTCCTTCATTTCCTGCACTCAACTGCCTTATACCTGCAACTTTACCTTGCTGCCCAACCATCTTCCCCCCTTCCTAGCACTCCCAATCGACTACCACTTTCCTTGCTGTCCATCTCTTTCAAACCACCCTCCGCCTGCCGCCAGTCACCTACCATATTTGCTGTCTCTGCAATTCTGCACTTTTCCTCTAGCTGCCACCACCCCTCCGCAAGCTATCCGACCCATCTCGTTGGTCTCCATCACCCTTGGAATACACATGAGATGTGTTGCTCGTGTCATTTCATGTTTCATGTTATTATTTATCATTTATGTTGTAACCCTATTTTAATATTAATGAAAATTTTCTTTTTTATTTCCAGTGTTTTTCCTACTAGTTCCAGTATCAGATAGTTTCCTTGTTCTAGCATAAGACCAAAAATATTTTTATTTTTTATTAACATCCTAGCTCTTTTTGCTCAAAGAGTTGAGTGATTGATATGTGTGTGATTAGGATTTCATTAAGTTTGATACTCGACGGCTTTCTTTTTGTTGATATAATTTCTAGTTGCTATAGAAGTTTATATTGATAATCATATATTTTTTTTTGCCTATTTTCATACTTTGGTGACTTTTAAATTATTGTTTGGAAGGAATGAAGCGTATTTTGTTAGTTGATATAAAAAAGCGATTGATTGTTGCTTAAATTGATAGTTACAAAAGAACCAATAATGAGTTTTTGTTTATTTCTTTCAACATTTTATTCTAAGTTTAATGTGAACTACAAGATCCAAAAATATTTTACAATAACGAGGTAGGTTCAAAAGATTTGCGTTGACTCTATCTTGAAATTTCTCATGACCTGCTAACATTCTTCCTTGTTAACAAATATTTCATTTGACGATATCCTTCTTGATTGCATCCGAAAAATTTATTGAGCCAACCAAGGTCATATTAGTGTTAACTCAAATAACGATAGGAAAATCAAATATTTTTAGTGAAACTCAAATATGGACTTACAAACAACCTACTCGAATAGGAAATAAAAACAATTGTGACACACAAAATTGAAAGTAGCAACTAATGCGATATAAACGGTCAAAGAGGGTAGATTTGGGGTGGTACTGGTGGCCTGTGAGGGTTTGGAAGGTGGCACGGGGGTGGAAATGACAGTTGACCAGCAAAAAATACCAAGACAACGGTTTTACCTCGGCCGAACAACTAGTAGAGAACTGGGGGACGACGTGTGAGGGCTATCCGTGTTGATGGCAGCAAGGGGGAAGGATGTCTGCGGCGAATGGGAGGAGTTGCGACAATGGCAGGAGGTTGGAATGATAAAAATAGTTGGCCAAGTGGCTGGAGCAATAAAAGACGACCAAGATCAGCTATTTCCAAGCGGTGGCAGTGAGTGGGAATGACGTCGACAGTGGCGGGGAAGGCGTGGGACTGCGGCACAACAAAAGGAGAATTGTCTTGAGGGTCCGACAATGAGAAGGATGGCTGGACGATGAGGAACTGCAGAAATAACAACAAAATGACTATTTTCGAGGCAGCTACAACTAGGAAGAAAGCGTGTTAGCAAAGCGAGAGGAGTGCAAAAATGGATTGAGAAGATAATTACCACATGGAGGCCAAGATATGGTCGAAGCACTACATGAAACCTTAGGATACAACCCTTGAAGGGAAGGATAGGCACCGACGACTTTTCTAATACAAAAGACACAAAAACTAACCCTAGAACAACAAAAAATGTAAATATATAATAATATGATGAATCAGATTGGGCTCGAGGGCCGACCGTCTTCACTACACAGAAAAATTTGGATCGCTTCGGTCCAGGTGAGCAGCAGGTGCTTGCTTGGTCGCGGGACCACCCTAAAATTCCCTATAGTCGGCTATCATTCTTCCTTTTTAACGGGCATTCCATCTGATGATATCCTTCTTGTCCGCTTTCGAAATATTTCATTGAACCAACCAAACACGGCTCAAAATGTCTTTTTTAACACTTATCATAAACTAACTTCTCTAATTGAATCTTCTTCTGCTTGCTACCAAACCTGAATCTCTTGCTCTGCAAATGTGCCCTCTTATCAAACTTTCATGCTTGTTTGTTTTTGGTTTTTACGGTTGTAAGTGAAGCAGTGCACTCAATGAATAACTCGAACTCGCCTCAATTAAAACTTGATCATGCTCGTTCAAATTAGTAAATAAATAAGCTTGAGCAATTTTTAAAAGCTCAGAGCCTAAATAAAATAAACATGAATATAGTTGAATTTGTTCATTTATGTTCACGAGTGAACTCGTTTGTTGTTCAATAAGTAACTCATTAAATACTCGATATTAAGTTCGTTTGATGATAACTCTTATTATATACGATATATTATTTAATTAAAATTTAATTTAATAGAATTTCTTTAATTATAGATTTGATTTTTTAAAGTTTAGGTGTTAGATTTGAAAATACTTAAGACTCATGTGGTACGTATGAAATGTTCTTTAAAATTAACTTTAAACCCGTTCAAACCTCACTTTCTTTTGGCATCTTGCAGTTTCATATCTTTTGGTATTGCTCGAAACATACGAAGCTCTAAGTTGTTAGTGCATGCAAGCATCGAAGGTAACAATGAGATCGCGCAAGCATCGAAGGTAACAATGAGATCGCGATGTGCAGGGATTTCTAAATCTCTAGTCTCTCGTATAACTCCTTTTTCCATTTTGCTCATAAATTCTACCTGATTAAAAAATGATGTAAAGAAAGTGCAGTGCAATCATTGTAAGTTATATATGATAAAAAATAAAGATGATGCAACAACTCAATATCATAGACATCTACAAAATTGTTAAAAAAGGTTAGAAAAATAACGTGTATAGCACTATGAGAAAACCAACATCTATATCTAAATGTGGGAGTTGGGTGTAAACTTGGAAGTATGATCATACTAAAATATGAGAGATTACATCCCATATGATCATGGTTCATGAGTTACCTTTTACATAGTTTATAATCAATAAATTAGTAGGTGAGATCGGATTTGTAAATTTATTTGTTGAATTTTTATATGTAAATCTAGATAATCATTTGAATTTTTAGCTCGTTTAATTATACGTTCACTTGTCATGAACAAATCAAGTTTTAACATTGAAAAATTTAAACAAGTAAAGCTTGAACAATATATGAAAGCTCGACATAAGCAAAAGCCGAACATAAACAACTTATAATTATATCAAGCCAAGTCCGAACTTTGATACTCGACTCAATTGCAACCCTAATGGTTTCCAACGTTATTTGAAATAGTTCAGTTTATTTTCAATTCTTTCAATTCTTTCAATTCTCTGGCTCTCTTTTCTTTTCAATTCTTTCAATTCTTTCAATTCTCTGGCTCTTTCAAGTAAAAGAAAGCATTCATTTATGTCAAAAGACGCTAATGCTAATGTCTCGCTGAAGTTTGTGACACTTTTCCTTCAGGGTGCTGACGTAGTGAGAGGCATTTCGGGATAGGGAGGTGTACTTTGCTTCAGTCATGAATCTGTAGATTAGGTTGAATAACTTGTCGTACAATGATAATTTAGCTGATGCTTGAATCAACCAATTCTTAAATACTTCTATAAAGTCATCCCACCGAATCAATGTAAGTGGTGTTAGCCCAAGCTTTTTCCTGTTTTGTGTTTGTCACCATTTTTTTGCTTCACCTTCTAAGCATGAAAATGGTTGATATCACTCTTCTGTTGTCTAAACAAATCATACCATCCAAATTTTTTTCATTTATAATAATCAGTAATGGTTGGATTACTAACTACTTTAAATGCATTTGGCCTGAATTGTCTGAAATATTCTGAGATGCTGATCAACTTTTGTGCTGAATTTAGATTTTTGCCTACTATTTGTGGATGATTTTTCAAAAGAGGTTATTTTATCCACTACATGAGAGATCAAATTAACGATATCCTACAACTCGTTGGCTTGAGACTTCATATTAGCTCTATTTTGTGCTCCACTTATGTTAGAGTTATCCACAACTTGCATTTCTGATTCATTAGTTGACTTGAATGATTGATCATTGATTCTTTCTGACACTTCTTCAGATATATTTATTTGTAATTGCACAATTTTAGTTATTTAATATAATTTATCCTTTAATACTTATATTATGCACAAATTACTTCCTAATATCTTATATTGACTATCCAAATTAAATTGACCTATAAATCTATTTTAATTAACTTAATTTTAATCTCATTCCTACTTCCTTTAAATTAATCATGCTTCCATTATCGATTTTAACTTCAACATTGGCTCTTATACTACTTTCAATCACACAACAATCAACTTCTCCTTAGGTCAACCTACAATATAATAGAGAAGGACGCTTCGTTAGGATTTAGTTTTAATCAACACTCATCCTAAATCATGCTCTTTAGGATTAGAAGAGTAGCAAATTAATCTTATTAAATTATTACAAATACCTACAATAAAATCTTTGATATCAAATATAAGCAGGAAAGCATGCATAAATAAATCCTCATATTAAAATACAAAGCTTTTATATTACTCAAATATATAAAATTTTATGTACCCCAAATGCCTTTTATAATAACCCAAAATCTTAACATTCAAAAGCGATATAAAAGGTATATCACATGGTTAATTGTCCACATGTTTCTTACCCTTACTTAAAACATAAAATAAAATTAGTAATTTTGACTCAGTGATATAACCAATAATAAATTAAAATTCAATATCTAAAAAATGTGCATGCTGGTCAGTGACTAACATGAGTAACAACTATAATATAACAAACATGCTTAAAAGTATAAAAAAATATGATTTAAATGCAGTACATGAAGCAATGATCAGAAATAATAAAACTATTACTGGGAATTCTTTCATTCACTGTATTGTGCAATGTATCATATTCGTTTATTTTACTTTTATGCTTATTCTTATTCTCAGCCCTCTTTGTCATAGAAATGTCACAATGTATACATATGATGCTATTTGCAGTTTCCATTGTTTGATTCTATTATGTTCTAATATATTAGGAATATCACTTGATCTTGATAAGCTTAAGGTGTGTAGAGGCTAGCAACACCTGCCAATATTGATGTTATTTGCAGTTTCCATTGTTTGATTTCTTTTATGGGCTATTCATTAAAGGATTTATCATTATCATTCTACCAATTACTAATTATATTGAAAAAGAATCAGGAAGATGGAATTTGCTATTAATTTTTTTTTACATTGAAGAACGACTTACTATTGTTCTTGTATCACAATTACCAGAATTTAATAAGGTTTTAGAGGTTTCTTGTGATGTTTTTAATCTAGGAATTAGGGGAGTGTTGATTCAAGTTGGACATTCCATTGTTTGTTTTAGTGAGAAGTCAAATGATGCAATAGATAAATACTCTAATTATGATATAGAATTTTATGCGATTATATAATGGTTTTGATATTGAATGCGTAATTGTTTTCCTAGGAGTTTGTTGTATATTTGGATTGTCAATTGAAACTCTATAAAGAAAGTTGGGCACATTTGCGAAATGGGTTGACTTTTTATTGGATTGCACATATTTCAAAAAATGTTGTGCTGCAAGTAAAAATAAACCTCTTATGCCTTAAGTATGGTTGTTGTCCACCACCGATTTTGATCATATTAAAGAGATTTATACTAATGTAAGGAAATTAATTAGCTATATATTGATTCAATTACATTATTATTAAGGGTGATTTTTTTTTTAAGGAAACTCAACTTTGCATTTGCAATATGTCTTAGCATCTACTTCAACTACTTGGGATAAGGCTAAAAATGTTGTGAATATTTTCTAGTCTTAAAGTTATGTTCTTGTTATTTTTCAATGTATTTTGATCAAGGTAAGATTATAGCTGTCATTATTAATAAATATTATTGGCATACCTTGAAACAAGATGTTGCATGTTTAATATTACAAATTAGAACACGCCAAACGGCTAAAGAAAAGAAATATAATATCGGACTTTATACATCATTTCTTATTTCATACAGAACTTGTGAGGATGTGAGCATGGATTTTTTAAAGATTATCATGAACAATAAAAAATATAATTCTATTTTGATTTGATTGGTCACTTTTAAAAATGGCTCATTTTATTCTATGTTTTAAAACTGTTGATACCTCTGAAACTTCTAATTATATTTATTAGATATTTAATTTGCAAGGACAACTCAAAAAAAGTTTGTATCTATATAGACTTCAAATTTATTGTTTTGGGAAAACTTGATGGAATAAAATGAGAACGCTATTAATGATTTTAACACTTGGTGTCCACAAACTAATGGTCAAGCTGAAATAGTTGGTAGGAGTTTAAATGATATGGTATACTATCTGATTAAAAAAGCACGCGTCAAATAGAGATTTGATTCCACCTATTATTACATTTGTCTGTAATTCATCTTTTATAGTTCTTTGGCCCTTTGAAATTATCACAGGTATTTAGCTTGGAAACCAATAGATCTTGTTCAGCTTTCTATTGAGTCTAGAACAAGTGAATTAGTTCAATCATTTGCAAAACATATGTTTGTTATGCATGAACATATTCACAAGAAACTAATTATAATTATGATCTCATTAGAAGCATAGAAAAAGAACTTTAAATCTTATTGTATTTTCTTGATCCTATCGAGAATGAATTGTACTCTTCAAATTTTAACTCTCTCTTTAGGTTTTTTAAACTGCTGCAAACAACCTAATTCAATTAACATAAAAAGAAAATTAATTCCCGCTTTCAAATTTTTCTTTTTTCCGAGATCGTAAGATTTTACTGTATTTTGTTTATTGTGTCCTCAGTTTTGTTATATTTATTCATTTCCACTGATACCCTTGGGATTCACAATGAAAGCTGCTACCTGGCTAGATTTTCGGTTAAATATTTTTTAGTTGATTTTCCTCAGTCCACTGCTTGTTCTTTATATAATTTCCACGACTTTTTCAATTATTGTTAAAACCAACTCTTCTTACTCTCTCTTAATTTTAATTTCTTGGATGAATATGTTGGAAAATTTTGAAACTATAAGTTGGTTCCTACTATTTATGTACTTGAAAACATGGAATTTGCAGTTTTTGACTGGATTTTAGAGGATTATTAGAAATTTCTTATTTTAGTCCCTTCCATTGATTGCTATTATTCATTGTTATTGTGGAATTTCAGATTTTAATGGCTATTATATTATTATTTGGAACGAAAGAACTGTGCTTGTTTTTTTAAACATTAGAAGTGGTTGATTTTGTTATAAATTAAAAGTCGGTAACCTACTAATTGTGATTTTTGTGTGTTTCATCTTTTAGGTTGTATGATTTAACCTTAGAGCCTCGATTGCCTTTCCTTAGGTAAGCTTAGAGTTATTAGTGAGTTAAAATTGCCTAGTTGAATTACAGCATAAGTTCAACTACATTGTCTTTGGCTTCATGAACTACATGGTCCACAAAATGGCCAAGTTTTCAAGAATCTAAGAAGTGAAGGGAGTGCCTGTACCTTTTGCTATAAATGATCATCCAGATGTGTTTATGCTGAGGGAGAGACTAAGGTGTTCCAAGGCTTTGGTTTTCAGAGTGAGTTAAGATGAAGCTAGTCGTGCTAGATGGTCCTAAGCTTCCATTGTTAAAGAATTTTTAAAGAATTACTTTTACTGTTATCTCAAAAAACTTTCTAATAATTGTCTTAAACATTAACTGGGCCATTATCATTTTTATCTTGCAAAACAGTAGGATTCATTGTACTCGAGGCTCTTGTAAATTTTATTGACTATGCTATTGAAGCTTTTAGTTTTGCCATGTTATAAAACCTCACATAGATTTTGGTTTTAGTTGCAAGGTTTCAAATTCGTGCGGTATATTCAGAGTCCAAGTTGAAAGAAACTGCTCAACCAACGGAAGAACAGTCCAAGTTGAAAGAAACTGCTCAACCAACGGATAGACAGTTCTCCAACACTTGGAAGATTAAAATGCTTTATGATGGAGAATGCCCTCTTTGTATGCGTGAGGTGTGTTTCTTAAAGGGATAAAATGCGTATTGTTATAAGATTTTCTAGTACAAACATGTTATTATTTATTAAAAGTAATCTTGAGTTATATGCCCTGCGAGAGACTAACATACTTTATCTCTCTATACTAGTAAAAAAGTTGTATTTAAACCCTCTTTTAATCAATTAAGATCTTTTTCTATCGAGAGCCTTAATTTTGGAAATGTGGAGACTTGATTTGATGCCAGCTAATTCCAGGATATTCAACATCAGCTTCATTAAACTTATACCTACTTAGAGGTTTTGATTTTATAAGTCATTCTTCTCATTTATTTTAGTTGAGTGCTTCATGATTTGATTTTTATTTTTATTTATTTTAGTTTTCCATCTATAAGGTTCTTGAACTTCTATTTCTCCATTCATTCCATGTATTTCAGGTTAGCATGCTTAGAGAACGAAACCAAGCTTATGGAACAATTAATTTTGTGGACATAAGTTCAGATGATTACTCGCCCGAGGAAAATCAAGGCCTCAACTACAAAACTGTATGTCTTTCTGGCAAAATATTTATGGTGTGGGTTCTTTTCTTAGTTTTATATATAGAATAAAAGAATCTGATTCTCAATTCTGTGCGTCACGAATACTTCATAATTTTTCAAAGCTGTATGGTACCGAAAATGCCTGATGCAGCATAAACTTAAAGAACCATGAAATAAGGGAATCTTTGTATTTAGGTAGATCTACATATATACCCCTCAATTTCTCTGAATTTACATATCTAACACCTGAACGTCAATTTGTACATACATACCGCCTTATCTATGCATGAAAAGGTGTATTTCATTTTTTAAATGTTAAAATGGTGGTATTTTTGATGTGATATGAAAGATTTGGGTGGTATGGATGTAAAAAATAAAATTTAGGTGTTGATTTGTATTTAATATATCACATTTCGGAGATGCATGTGTTGGCATTGAACCTGGAATGTGATATATTAAATACAGGGCTTAATGAAGCTCTAAACCAATCTGAGTAGGGCTTAATCAGACAGTTCAAGGATTGACTGAAGCCCAGATTAGGAGGGTTAATATTATACTCAAAAGATTGAGAAAGTGCTAAAATTTGGCCTGGTTACATACTTCATAAAAAGGTTTTATCTTTTAATTATGCATTGCACTGATTAATTACTTCCTGAATTCATATTCTCTTCAGCTTATGGGGAAAATACATGCAATTCAATCTGATGGAACTATCTTCACAGATGTTGAAGTATGTATTGTTCTTTTTTAGCACGCAATTTATGAACTTGTTCAACTGTACCTTCTACCTCTCTGAACTACTCTTACACTACAATTTATAAATTTTAGATATTCCCATTTTTTTAATACAAGAAGAATGATGACTGCTATGCGACAAAATTCTGCTTCTTTTCCATTTGAAGATGTTGTTGTAATAGTTCTGTTTTAGTTATTGGGGGAGAGTGAATGAAGAATCGGGGAAAAGAAATGAAGAGTCAGGTTGTCAAACGGAGGAAGAGGAAAGGAGGGGTTGGGTAAATGAATGAAAGGGGGAGATGAAATGAAAGTGGTCGAAAGCTGAAGAAGTGATGTTCGCCAATAAATTATTGCGAGGGAGGCAAAAACTTACAAGTGAGTCGAACGACACATGTTAGGACTTCCTCGTAGTCGGAGGCAATTGACGGCAGAGTCTTACCCTAACCTACCAATGAAGAAGAAGAGGAGGAAATGAACGAACATCGCAGAGGAGGACGGGTTGAGTTCATGATAGACAAAGATGAGCCAATGTCGAGGCTCGTACGGGAGAGAATCTTTGTGGCTTTGATCGCTCGGTCTTGAGCGACCGAAGGAGAAGAAAGGGAGGGTGAAGTTGCTGCTTTGTAAGAGAGTTCTCGTGCGATGAAGGAGGGGGTTGCATCTCTATCGCATACAAAGGAGAGGAACAAGTGGAATCGTGAGTCGCGTTGCTGAAGGGAGGGCTCTAACGAGAGGGTTTTAAGGGTAAAAGGCTATATTATATATTATATTTATAAGTTATTATTTAAATATTAAACATAAATTAATTCAAGTTTCTTTAAAGATTAGGTTTTTAATTTTAAATGTATTTTGTGTAGATTATTAATAATTACTAATTTTTACAATTATCAAACTTAAATTTTAAGTATTTAAACATTAAAATAGTGCAATATAATAATAATTGATAATTAAATTAAAATATAATTAAATAAAGTGATAATAGAATATTCTATATGTGATAATTTGATAGAAGAAATACAAGTTAAGAGCAAGCAGATCATTCATCAATGATGAGAGTACTCATGCTCTTATACTATGGTAATATTTGCTTCTTCTAATTAAGGTTTCTTTAAAGATTAGTTTTTTAATTTTAAATGTATTTTGTGTAGATTATTAATAATTACTAATTTTTACGATTGTCGAACTTAAATTTTAAGTATTTAAACATTAAAATAGTGCAATAGAATAATAATTGATAATTAAATTAAAATATAATTAAATAAAGTGATAATTGAATATTCTGTATCTGATAATTTGACAGAAGAAATATATGTTAAGAGTAAGCATATCTTCCATCAACGAGGTGAATACTCATGCTCTTATACTATATTGATATTTTGCTTTTTCTAAACTAAATGCATTTGTTAGTATTATCGTTAGTTATATTGAAATTGCTCCAACTCATGATTTTGTATTCTATTGAATTTTTGTTCATATTGTAGGAATAATATGTATGCACGTTATTTTTGAACGATTTGACTTCTATGCAAATGTTAAATGAATATATTTTTTTTATTAGAAAAGGGATATTTTTATTGGATGCTTGTATGTACATGATTGACTATGATGGACTCACTCTTTGATGATACTAGTTGGGAACCACTAATATACCCGTGCATGTAAATGAAAAATGATATTGATATTGATGTATCTTAATTGACACAATTTTTTAAACGACGTCTCATGTAATAGTTGTATAGATATGAGAAAATATAGATATAGACTCTTTGAATATTGTTCTTTTTTCTTGTATTATTGTAATTTAAGAGTATGAGTTTTCACTAACTTGTTTAACTTATATATTTTTAAACTAACTTTTCAGGCTAATTAAGTGATTAAAGATGAACGATAAAAGGAAAAATGTTTATAGAAGATGCGGACAATCAGTAAAGAGGTAAAATTAATTTTAGTCCTTTAAGTTAATTTGATTAGTGACTCTTTCACCTGTTAATAGTAAGTTATAGAAAATGAATAACAAAATTTTTAAATTCACACAATTCGACCATCTATACCCGCCTTGGTAAATTCTAAGTCATGGGCTAGGTCGTGACAATGGTCCTAAGCCAATTTTATTTCTTTTTCACCAACTTATCATATCTATCTGGTTTTCCATAATTATCATGACCAATCTCGCATCTTTAGTATATCATGCTTAAGTTCCTAAATCATGAAACATGCTTTTCACTTTTGACATCTAGATTTATTTGAATAGCTGTTTTTGTCTTATAATAAATTTTTGATTTCATTATTTGAGATGCTAAATTTAGAATGACTTGTTTCTATTGATGTGGTACATTTCAGGCATCGATATTTAGTTTCCTTGGATTTGTTACAAAGGAAAAGTTATGGAGAGCTGTTTTCTTCAAACTTGTTTTGGGTTATTCTCAAATAACTCCAGAAAGAAAGTAAGAAAGAAAAAAAGAAAAGAAAAGAAAAGCAAAGCATAAAAAAAAAAAAAAACTTGGGATCTAATTATAACCCATACTGTAATCAGTTTCCTTAGCAAGAGAACAACACGTAATGATATAATGGTAATAAAAAGAGAGTTTTTGATTCATGCATCATAGGAAAAAATTAGAACAAGTTATGACAAAAGGAACTGAATTCTTGACACGGGCATCTGAAAAGAAATGCTAATAGAACGGCATTTTAAAATCCTAAGCAAGGCCTGCTGACAAAGCTGTTGCTAGCCTTCTATGGAGATTGTTCACCAATCAAGCGAACTGAAAGTTCATTAGTATCGGGGAAGACATTGTAGTGCAACTGAATCGATAACTTATACTCATAAATAATAACGCATATCAGAATAAATGGCAATTATGTCAAGGCATAAGTATAATAACTTTATAACTATCAACAAAGAACAAAATTGTTTATATACAGTAAAAATGTTTTTCATCCGTTGATTTGATGAAGTATTGATCTAACCCCTATATATATATATATATATATCTGTGTGTGTGTAATTGGTGGCCTGTTGGTTGGCAAGTTCGGTGTAAGCCCCTTTTTCGTAGGTTCGATTCCATCTGGCTTGAATTAGCACATATGGGGTGGACAGACAAATATTTCCGTCCCTCTCTCTCTCTCTCTCTCTCTCTCTCTCTCTCTCTCTATATATATATATATATATATAATATCCAAATTTATTGCCCTCATCATCTTATTTGCAATGAATTAGTTATAGGTTATTATAATGTACCCCTTTTGAACACATATTGGCATGTTAGTAATTTTATTACTTGCCTCTTATCATATTGGTCGGTTGCATGATTTGTCTTAATGGCGATATTCATATGGCATGGATAGTTAATTAGAAAAATTACGAGTTTTTTGTTGATGTGAACTGGGGTACATAATATTTAGATATAGTGATAATGTAATGGTGCATTTGAATTTAGAAAGGCTTCTATTAAGAATCATTAAAGAATTAAAAGCGGGAAATTTAGTGCATTTGAAAACTTGCAGCACATTGGAACTAATTTTTTGTAAACTAGAAACTCTAGGGAATTTTGGCATTAATCAAGTTTTAGTTTGTTTGATTTGGCCTTTTTCATTAATCTATTGATAATTTTATAAATTCTTCACGCCTTTCATTTCCTTATTTTGAAATCACATCCATCACTGCCAAATAATTTTATATACCTTGTCCTTCAAGCTATTTGGATGATTAAATTATGCCCACTACTAATGTTACATTTCAGAGACACTCTGTGTGCTAACATGACAGACCTATTTGTAATGAATTATAGATTATTTCTTAAGAAGCATGAAGTGCGTTTCTGAATTTGCTTGCTGAATATCTAAGCTCAATGCATTGGGGTTCGTTTTTTTTAAGTTGAGTTGATTGAGGCAAGATTGTAGCTTTTCTTTGTTGTTATTCTATCTTTGATGTTGTGGTTGCTTCTCTATTGTGTATTGGCCTATATTTCTATAACAATGCTGTTATTGGGTTATGATCTTTCCTATAGCAATGCTAATTTTGGTTGCTTTTGATACCGGAGTTAACCCAGAGCACAATAGGTAAAACAAATATTATTAGTGAAATCAAATAGGTGGTTACACTCAACATTGAAAGGAAAAATACAACAACACGATGCCCATAAATCTGAAATAATGATAGACACTACATAAGCCCTCAACTTGGGTGAATCTCAAGTGGTGGTGGCGGTTGTTAGGGGCTTGGGACGGTGGAGGCAAGGTTGGGAAGGTGCAGGGCTGTGGGGAAATAGTGGCAAGGTGATGTCAGCTTGCTGTCCTGAGCGGCAGCAAGCAAAGAATTGCTGAAATTGGCAGTAATCAGCAAGAGTCGGCTGTCTTGAGGGACTGGAATGAGGGAGGGCAGCAATGGGGTGAATTTCTGGGGGATGCAGCAAGTCCGGAAGAGGAGAAGGTGGATGTGAAGGTTCAATACTGCAAAGAAACAGGGATTTCCAGCAGTTTCGGGCGACAGCAGTGAAGGAAATAGGTGCAAGCAATGTGGGAAGGTTGGGTAATGGTTGAGGGCAGCTATGGTGGGTGGCAGCAAGCCTGGACAAGGAGGGAGGTGGCTGGAAATGGCCGGGAGTGATGTGGGAGGATGCGGAGGGGATAGGGGAAGAAAATCACTACCTCGGGAGAGTGCTACAACCGGAGCACCATCCATTCCCTCAGATACAACCCTTGAAGGGAGAAAACGGATGCTGGCGGTTGTCCTAAGAAAACTCATGCCATAACTGACCTAAAACACAATAAATAACATATATATAGTCTTAGAGCAAGGAAGAGTAGTCCCCGCTCCAAATAGGAGGGAACCATATGCAAGGGCCAATTGATTCTTCTCCCACTAGACCATACCTGTCGCATACAGCCCATGCCCCACCTCGCTAGTCTAGGCGCCCTCACACCGAGTATGGTGCTCCCACGTCTATCCGCGCCGGACATGGCGCTCTGGCATCAACTTATTTCATCTCTTTGTTC